TAGATGTCACAGTATCTTTGTTTTGAACATTCTGTTAATTTTTGTTCTTTCAGGCTTGGTTCATGGCACAAATATGCCATGATTACATTTGGAGTAGATCTGTCAGTGGTAGGGCTGTAAGCTCAAGACTTTACATATTAGCTTGTGGAGGTTCAGTGGATGACTCAGGATTCTCACTGTTTGTATAAAGCATAGTGTGCATGTGTTTCAGCATGTATCTTTATCTGAATATCTTTACTTCAAGTTGCAAATCTTGTGTGTGTTACCCTTTCTTTCTTTGTACATGGAAGTCATGATATATGACTTGTAATAGCATTAATATACAGGAATATATATGCTTATGAAATATTTTTAATTCATATATTAAGAAACAGCAACCAAAAAGCCCACGATATGGTTCAGATATGTGGATGACACTTTCACCATTTGGAGCCATGGAGAAGAAGAACTAAACAGGTTCCTGGACCATCTTAACAGCATCCACCCAAACATCCAGTTCACCATGGAAAAAGAAAATGAAGGAAGACTGCCTTTTCTAGATGTCCTAGTCATCCGCAAACCAGATCAACAATTGGGTCACACCGTTTACAGAAAACCCACACACACAGATAGATATCTACATAAAAACTCCAACCATCACCCAAGTCAAAAAAGAAGCACCATTAAAGCCTTGGCAGACTGTGCAAAAAGAATCTGCGAACCCCACCTCCTCCAAGATGAACTGAACCACCTCAACTGGGCTCTCCAGGCCAATGGATACTCCACCTCAGACATCAGAAGAGCTGCAAGACCAAGAACAAGCCACGAGAGTAAAGATGAAGATCCACCCAGAGGAAAAGTGTTCCTGCCATACATCAAGGGAACCACTGATCGCATAGGGAAGCTGATGAGGAAACACAACATACAAACAATCTACAAACCCACCAAGAAAATCCAACAAATGCTACGTTCAGCAAAGGACAAGAGGGATCCTCTCACCTCTGCAGGAGTCTACCGTATACCATGCAGCTGTGGACAAGTCTACATAGGGACCACCAAACGCAGCGCCCAAACAAGAACCCAGGAACATGAAAGGCACTGCAGACTACTTCAACCAGAGAAGTCAGCCATAGCAGAGCACCTGATGAACCAACCTGGACACAGCATATTATTTGAGAACACAAAAATGCTGGACCACACCAACAACCACCATGTCAGACTACACAGAGAAGCCATTGAAATCCACAAACATGTGGACAATTTCAACAGAAAGGAAGAAACCATGAAAATGAACAAAATCTGGCTACCAGTATTAAAAAATTCTAAAATTAAAACAGCAGAGAGAAAAACAGGCAGGGACATCTAATCACCTTTCAAGAAGAGTTTGCTCCAGGCACAGTCAGCCCATTGTATGCTAATCAAGGTGGTCAGTTGAAAAGATTCACACCTAGCCCAACTTACAAAAGCCTTTTGTCTCACCCTGGTCATTCCACAGATATATAAACCCCCTTTTTCCCAGCTCCAGCAGACCTCACCTCTGAGGAAGCTTGCCATAGATGCAGGCGAAACGTCAGGAGAAATGCCTCTAGAACATGGCCATATAGCCCGAAAAAACCCACAAGAACTGAGCATATATTAAGAGTTTTAGAAAGTGGGTTCAGAAAACCTTCCTGAGTTGCCTGAGGGCCGAGAAGGGCGGTATACAAATATAGTGTGTGTGTGTGTATATATAAATTTGAACACACAAGACATGGCTCTCTGACATTGTTATATTCATTTATTTGCTGTTCATGTTCAATTATGGCAGCTGCTGTCCCCATCATTTTTTGTTATTCCCTCTCCAGATTCTTGATGTATAATTACATTTTGTTAGTGAAGACAGTGGCATAGAGAGTAGACTCCAACATATTCTATTCAACTGTCAGTAGTTTTATTGAAGTTTGATGAGCTTTTATGTAAAAAAAAAAGTGTTAAGAGATGTGAAAAACACCGAGGGTTATATTTATGGATTTTTATGTAGATTTTTTTTAAAAAAGTTTGTATGCTATTTGTACTAGAAACAGCTTCCTTCTGTTTTCATTGTTAACTCAATTGCTTTTGATAGAAATCTGAAGCTATTCATAGAAATATTTTTCCCTTACTTGCCTTAGGAAGTTTTTAGGAAGTACTACTTCTGTTTTTAGCAATGGTTTCCAGTATTACTGGACACATAGCCATATAAATAGAATGGTTTGATTAGTTTTCCTCTTTTTGGTGCACAAAACTTTCTTCATTTCTGCTTCTCTCTCCTCCCCTTTATTCTTTGCACAAATACCCTCAACAGTAGTAAAAAATGTCGTCATAAAGAAGTACTGGTATATAAAATGTTTATACAAGTCCAAACATTCCGTGTGATATTCTTTGCACTGCCAAATTAGTTTTTCCTTGTAAATGGCCTTGGATTTTTTTCAATGGTGAATTCCAGAGCATCAGTTATGAATAAACATTTGTTGTTATAAGTGGGCAAACAATCTGTATGGGTGTAATTGCCATGGCAGCATGGAATCTGACCTTGTACTCTGGAATCTCAGAAAATTTTTCCCTGGTCCTATTTGTTGAGACTTTTATGTGCACAAGTATAAGTTTTTAGAGCTTAAAATGTATTAAATCATTTAGAAAAAAACAACTTAAATAAGCTGTTACAAAATCATATCTGGATACCCATTGATAATTTTGAACATTATAGCAGTTACCTTATATAAGGCATATAATAATTTTAATTTAGAGAGCTAGTGAGATGTAGTGGTTTGAGTGTTGGACAAGGATATTGGAAGATCAGGATTCAAATCCCCACTCTGCCAAGGAACCTTCTGGATAACCTTGGGCAAACCATACTCTCAGCTACTGAGGAAGGCAAGGGTAAATCCCCTCTGAATAAATTTTGCCAAGGCATTTATCTTTAGGAGCACCATAAGTCAGAAAGACTTGAAGTCAGACTTGAAGCAACACAGCAACAACCATTTCATTTTCCTTCTAATGGGCAGGTGGTACTAAAACGTTTGTATTTGCAAACTTTGAGGCTTTTCAATTCCACTCATGTCCAATTGGAAAGTAAATATCTTCACTACATGAAGTTCTGAGAGCCTAGTCTTAATCTGAGGTTGATTGCTGGGTGCATTATTTGAGGAAGAATCACTTCCCACAAGTGTACAGGGCTTGCGCTTCTAGACTCCACCTCCCACCCCCTTTTTCAGAACAGCTTACTTATTTATTTAGGTGATTCTGCGTTGTGCAAGCATGATGGCCTTCCATTTGTAGGGTCTTGGCATTGGATATATAGATGACTTTAGAGCCCTATTCTTGACCCATATGTTCTTCTAAAGTCAGGACATCGGTTTCCAGGTGTAAGGTGGATCCGGTCAGGGTCGTCTTGATGCGCCTTTCTCTTGCACGTTTCTCCCTTTCGCCCTCCATTCGCGCTTTTTTAAATTCTACAGCACTGCTGGTCAGAGCTGCTCTCCAGCTAGAGCGCTCAAGGGCCAGGACTTCCCAGTTCTCAGTATCTATGCCACAGTTTTTAAGGTTAGCTTTAAGCCCATCTTTAAATCTCTTTGCCTGTCCACCAACATTCCATTTTCCATTCTTGAGTTGGGAGTATAGTAACTGCTTTGGGAGACAGTGATCGGGCATTCGGACAACGTGGCCAGTCCAGTGGAGTCGATGGTGTAGGAGCATTGCTTCAATGCTAAGGGTCTTGGCTTCTTCCAGCATGCTGACATTTGTTCACCTGTCTTCCCAAGAGATTTGCAAGATTTTCCAGAGGCAACACTGATGGAATCATTCCAGGAGTTGAGTGTGACGTCTGTAGACAGTCCACATTTCACAGGTGTACAGCATGGTTGGGAGGACAATAGTTTTATAAACAAGCACCTTGTTATCCCCACGGATGTCCCAATCCTCAAACACTCTCTGCTTCATTCTGAAAAATGCTGCATTCGCAGAGCTCAGGCGGTGTTGTATTTCGGTATCAATGTTTACTTTTGGGTCAGTGTTGACAATCTTAACTCTGAAGAGCATTATAAGATAGGATAGATGATGTCTTCATTTGATGACATAGTTCATGTCAGCATAAGATAAAGATAATGGCAAACCTCTGAATAAATGATGCAAAGAAAACCCTATGATAGGCTCAAGATTAATTTCAAGGCACATAACAAAAACATTTGATTCAAAGGGGTCTCTAATTGGGATAGCAATGGGATATAGGCTTTTATCATGAAGAGTTGTTGAATAATTGGGTCTGTGCATGATGTAGAATTGCAGAATTATAGCAATTTGACAGTACTAACTGCCATGACTCAATGGCATAGAATTTTGGTGTTTGTAGTTTTCTTATAGCCCCCTCCCCCTCCTTACATACATAGTGAAAAACACGTATTCTCGTAAATATTAAAGTTTGTGTGCTTTTGTTGGAGCTGTGATATCATTATTTATTATCAGTCAGCATTTTTTATGAATGCTGCTAGATATACATAGCAGCTGGCTTCTTAATGCAGAAAAAATGCCTGGGAAAAGATGGTGATCAATTTCATAATACAGTCAAGGTTAATTCACAGTATAGACCAGTAATTTGAGATAGCACTCCTGTTACTTACAATAGTCAATGTATATATGTTTTTGAGGAGGACAGTGTTATCTATACTTTTAATACAGTTTAAACTTTTGTTAAATTTTGTCATGACCTACACGCTTTGAAGTGGCAGTACTTTGATTTAAGTTGTTATAATTGTTGTTATATGTATGTATATCCAACTATTTCCTCAAGCCAGAATCAATGCAGCTTACACATTTTAAAGTAAATATGACTTTTAAGTTTATCATGCAAAAATAAAAATATAATTAAACCACAACAGAATTAAAACTAGTTAAAAGCAGGATAATTAAAACTGATTATAGGATGATTAAATCTAAGTACTTGAGCATGCTTTTTCTAGGTTTTCAAGAAGACAAATTAATTTTATAATATTGTTTTTGTTTTTTAGGTCTTTCAGCTGCCCAAAGAAAGTTTGCTCGTTCATTGAGAGACTTTAAATTTGAATTTATTGGTGATGCAGAAACAGATGATGAAAGATGTATAGGTACGTCAACTATGTATAGTGAACAAGCAATATCCAGTATCTATTTTAATTTTTTTAGCCACCATTTTTTATAGAATCCACTGAGATTATGTTTATTCCCTTCCAGATGCAGCCCTCCATGAATTTGCTAATTTTCTGAAAAATTTAGAAGAACAAAGAGAAATAATGGTACATTTGTAACTATTTTGGCTTTTTTAAATGTCTAGGGACTTTAAAAAAAATACATTGATAATCCTCATTTTATATAATAGTTCATTATCATTATGCTGTTGTAATGAGAATAATCTTGTTTTGTAGTTGTAAAGCGCAGCATAATGTGATTTGCATGTTGTATTTCCCTGTATTTCCCTTTTGAATGTTCAGAGCTCCAAAATGTTCTATTCAACCAGTTGAGTATCTTGCAAAAAAAAAAAATCTCTTGCTTTTCCTAACATACGTGGACAATTTGATAGCATTGAAAACTATGCTACTATATTCCTAAATTTGCAATCTAGCTCTTCTTAAAGCCAAACTATAGCCAGAGTCTGTACAAAATCTTGGTTGGACTATTCATGATTATCTCCTTTCACATCACCCTTCTTCAAAACTATGCTACCTTGGCTTTTGAATATCATCCCTATAAAGCCTCATCTGATGCCCACCTTTTATCTCTTGAAGTATTTTATTTATAGTTCTACATTTGGTTGAATTCTTACTTTTTATGGTTTGATTTTCTAATGCTGTATATTATATATTTTTGATACTTACAGTTATTGTATTTTATGTATGCTGTAAACTACACAGAAATATATTGATATAGGTATTAGGTATTTTGTCTGAAACTTGATCTGTTACTGCTGGCCCGATGCCTGTAGACCCCCATATCTGTTTCCACACGCCTCCCAAAAATGGCCGTTTTTGAACCATAGCCAAAAATTACAGCTAGATCCGGCCTATTGGTGGCAGTGGGGAACTTACGAGGCTCCCCTTTTGGGGAGCCTGAGTTTCAGCAATGAGGTTAAGGAAGCATGGACCCTTTTCTTTATTCTCTTGGCTGGATGGCCATCTGTCAGGGGTGATTTGAATGCAATATTCCTGCTTCTTGGCAGGGGGTTGGACTGGATGGCCCATGAGGTCTCTTCCAACTCTTTGATTCTATGATTCTATAATTCTATGATTCTTCAAGGGAGCCTGGATTTCAGCTACAGAGTTAAGGAAGCACCCTTCCTGGCACATTTTCCTTTTTTCCCTTCAAGGGAACCTGGGTTTCAGCAACTGAGTTAAGGAAGCAGACATAGCTTGCATAATGATATCGAATGGGGAGGAGTAGCCATGATCGGCTGCCGGGTGGTCCCATTATGGGCAGGAAAACGTGATGACTGGACCCTTGCCATTATGGCCATCTGGCAGAGTCAAAGAAGATGGATTGGCCGAAGGACAATGGCTAAAACAGATCAGTGCAAATACCTAATAAATATTACTTAATCAAATAGCAGTGAATTAGATTTCTATGAGGAAGAGACTATGAAGATACATAAGCATATATTCTGAAAATTCCTAAAGGAATTTGTGTTAATTTCTTCCAATAATAATAGAATGTCTTGTGGCAACTCTGTCTAGTTTCATTTTTTCAGTTAGGAAGTATTCTGTACAAGTATTGTGTACACCTGAGTTTTTTCAGCAAAATGTATCTCATATCTCCAGGCGATAAAAGATTTGCTGAATTGTAGTCCCTTTATTCACATGTAACGTGTTGCATTTAGGCTTTTTCTTTGCAGAAATCCACTCTTCTGAATATTTAATGACAAGAGTCCAGTATGGAGGGGCAGGCTAGGAATACATCCCTCCTCACTTTTATGCAATTTTTCTTTCCTTTCCTGTGTGCTGAGAATGCTCAAGAGTGGTTGTTTGGTGTGAGATTTTTGTGTGGCTCCACTATAGGCTTTCTGTTTCTCTAATATTAGTTTTTATTTCCATTTGTTATGATCTTAATGGGAGGATTGGTTTGCTGTTGGTAATCACTTCATCATCAAGAAGGAAAAGCGTTGACAGTTATAGTCCTAAAAATGAGAAGTGTTGAAAGAAATAATGATCCTTAGAGTCTGCAGAAGGGTGTGGCATAGGCAGAAAATTCCAGCTGAACATGTTGAAATGATATGGTTGAGACAATAGAAGGAGACAACAACATCCTGTTTTCTTCATAGTTTTAAAAACTACAGCTGACCTAACCATTAGCCAGGGTGAACCAATCACCTGAAGTGATGGATTTGAAGGCACAGAGCATTGACAAGTTGTTGAAAGACAGAGTTCTCTGTGTTATTTAAGACAGTGGTTCTTAACCTGTGCTCTGCAGTTCCCTGGGGGTGGGGGGGGGGGTGATGCTTACAATGTCCCAGTAGAGGCTCTAAGAAGGCTTGAAGGTTGCTGAGCCCACGTCCCCCCCACACCAGAGCAGCCACATGACAAAAAGCTAAGGCAAAATCCAGGTGGACTGGATGATCCTGAACATTGCTGTCATGTAGCCGCTTCATTGCTATGAGGAGGTGGGTTGAGAAACAGTAAAGTCATTTTAAAAAGTGTTACCATTTCTAGTTTTGCTTTATTAATTCAGTGGAAGTACAGCATTTTATCATATCTATGTACTTTGTTATTGTTGCTTTTTCCACTGGGATATGTTTTTAAAAGAAATGCTGAGGCCTAACATAGAAATTCCCATAAATGATTATAGAATGACTTTGCTAAAATAAACATCATTCTTTCTGTGAATCATGAAGGAACATATCAAGAAGGAATCTCTCTTGCCCCTTAGGGACATTTTAAAGTGGAATCCAAAAAGTCAAGTTCAGCTGGTTAGGCATTATAAAATGTATTCTTCCATTCTTTAGGTCAAATGTAGCAATTGCAGTATTATAACACATTGAACAAATGTTTTCTTCTATAGCTTCATTTTATTTATACAAAATTTGTTTTTAGTATGTTTTTCCATTGGATAAATGGGAGATATTGAGTCAATTATTCTGCATTGCAAAGGAATAGCACATTTGGAACTGAATGTATGTATATCCTAAGTAACTGTGAATATTTTGCATGCATTACTCATCGGATTCTTACAAATCACATGAAAAAAGGATCAAACTTTTCATGTCAGGAGTTGTCTGTAAGTTCAGTGTAATTCTGTCTTTAAATTTTGTTTAAAACAATGTTTTTAATGTACATCTCAGGTGTTCTATCGGGCTAAGCAGCATTAAACAAATATAATAATAAAAATATCTCATAATTTGCTTTAATACTAAGACTTGAATAAAAACAAATGACAATGCCAGGATTTAAATTGGGTTTTTAAGGTATGAAGCAGAACTGCAAAAAGATTCTGGTTTTACATGTGTACACATCACAGCACTCCTCTGTTCTCTTTAAATAAATTATTAATCAGCATCAAGAGAGAAAGCCTGTATGTTGTGCTAGAATAAAGTACACACTTTAAGTTTTGTCTACTTGCATATTTCCCCTTTTTTCTAAAGAAAATTGCTAACAACTAAAGGTCATTTGTTTCTTTGCCAGTGAAATTAGTGCAAAATGTTCTCTCAGATGGGAACACAGAGTAGTATGTGGGTCGTGGGAGACATTTCAAAGAATGTCTGGGATAAAAACTATGATAATGTTTCTGATGTCTAATTTGAAATGAGCCCAGAGAGTATGCTTTCTCATATATGGGCAAATGCAGAAAGTATTATTAAATAAGCCAGAAAAACTCAGTGTCTTCCTCCTCATTGCAACCCACAGTTAGATTACAACTCTCAGCATTCTTTGCTGGCTTAGGATTTGTGATCCAGTCATATCTGGAAGACTGCTTCATCGTCTCTCCTGCCATATATGAAACTTGTACGGAGGCATTTTTTCTTATTATTGTGTAGTAGTTTAGACTTTTTGTACTTTGGTGTATATTTAGTGGTGGCACAATTCAGTATCTGAATTATTTTCATCATCTTAATAAGCCCACTAATGTCATTAGTCTACCCAAAAAAAGCTTCATAGTTTCTTTTGTGGAGCAATTTTTTCAATTCCAGTGCTACGTATGAGGAACCTATGCAGATATCAAAAAAGTGAATGCTCTAGCCCAGAGTCACAACACAGAGTCTTCTGCAGTGTGTAGGTGTGTTGCACATGCATAATGAGAAACCTCTGAGTCTATGTAAAATAAGCAATAAATCATATATATTTTAATATAAATGAAAGGTTTTCACGAGCTGTGTTGTATGCCTATACATTTCATGATTACAATGTATGTATGCATCCCTGTTTTCTAATAAAACTGAATTATGTGTCGTGAATTGATACATGTCTAAAAAGTGTGGCACCAACCTGAAATGTTTGGAAAGCTCTTCTCAAGTCTGTATTAAAAATGGGGCCAGGCAACAGTGGATGCAAGGAGCCCATCACCCACTTAGCCTTTGAGCAGCTTCTGTGAATGGTCAAGCAGTGGTGCTGTTGCTTACCATGTTCCTCAGAAGGTGCTTGTCGCTCTACAGTTGACAGTGCCAGTAGTAGTCCTGCATTACAAGCAAAAGGGCAGGGCTGCTTCTGACTGTTGAAGCTGCTTGCCATCCTGGTTGGTGATACTGCTGTTGCCAATTGCAAGATGGCAAGTTGTTTGTGTAGGGACAAGGCAAGTGGCGGCTGTGTTCTGCGATGGCTTGAAGCTGCAGATTATGCACCTGTGGATAAGTGGTTTCAATTTACAGTGTAGGCTTCTGACTAACATCCTCAGTTTACCTTTCCTGTATGTTTTTAACGTTTTTGAGGAAGCCAGTGAAGTTTCTAAAACTTGCATGTTATATTTTCTGCATGTTGGTTACCCAATGAAGTTATCAATCTTTTGTGAAGTTTGAATTTTGTTGTATTTTACTATGTGTTCAACATGGCTACACTTGAACAGGAGTCATGGTGTACAGCATATGATTACTTTGCAAGCAAAAGATTTGCAGAAATGCTTGCCTTTACTCCCATCTTCTATCCAGGCAGTTTGGAAATGAAGGCAGTTTGGGAAGAAAGTGGCTTGGAGGTACACAGCACAGAGTTTTGTTCATAACAGCACCTTGATTGCGGGTCACCTTCATGAGGGAACTAAACCTCCTGAAACTCTATCATTCTTGAGCTTCTGGCAGGCAGTCAAAACTATTATTTCCTATCAACTTTGTTCCTTCAAATGGCATTTCAAAGTCTTATCAGGGTTTTTTTTTTAACTACCGGTACTTACATTTTCTTTTTGTATTTCACTTTGGGGATCTAGTGGACAGAGAAGCAATTGAAAAATACAGTTGCTAGTGCTTACAATAATCTGAGCATCTGGCATTCCTTCTGCCCTTCTGGCAACATTTAAAGATAAAGTAGTGTTAGCAGCTGCCACAAAGATGGCTCAGCAGGAACTTTCAGGGAGGGTAGACGGAGCTGTGAGAAGGCTTTAGAAGATCTTGTGGAGTTTACAAGACAACTGATGCTCATTTTTTGTGTTCAAGGGGAGTTGTATCCAAGGGCCCAGCAGCAAGCCAAGCTTGGGAAGACAGAAAAATGACCAAACAGCTTGACAGTTAAAAGAGGAAAAAGGGAATACCAAAGCAGCCAAGAAGAGGAGAGACTAAGTCTAGGAATCAGTTTGTTTTAAGAAAGTCCTGCTGATGTTCTCCTTAAAATGAGATGAACTGTAATGGTTATATTTCCCGTAGAACAAACCACACTCTCACCACCTCGATGATAGAATGGAAAAAAGAAAGCATTTTGGCATGTTGCTGTGTGCCTTTAGGTTGTTTCCAACTTAAGGTGACCCCCATGACAGGGTTTTCTTGCCAAGATTTTCTGGAGGTGTGTTGCCTTGGCTTTCCTTTGAGGCCAAGAGGATGCGACTTACTCAACCTCATCCAGTGAGTTACCATGACTGACTGAGGATTCAAACCCTGATTTTGTATTTCTTTAGACAAAGTTCAGTATGACCATTGCAACTGCTGAAGCAATTATCACCCCAGCCTTGCTGTCTAAAAATCTCCCTTGGAAATCAAGAATATCCTAATAAGATGTTGGGCTGTGAAGAGGCCTGTAGAAGAAAAGTGCTGAAAATGGAGCGAGAGTCGCCAGATGTACAAGCTGGGTTTAGAAAAGCCAGAGGAATGAGATACCAAATTGCCAATATCCGCTGGATAATGGAGGAAGGCAGGGAGTTTCAGAAAAACATCTATTTCTGTTTCATTGACTATTCTAAAGCCTTTGTCTATGTGGATCATAATAAATTCTGGCAAGTTCTTGGTGGTATGGGCATAACAAATCACCTTGTCTCTCTCCTGAGGAATCTGTATAAGGACCAAGTAGCAACAGTAACAACTGACCATGGAACAACAGACTGGTTCAAGATTGGGAAAGGCGTATGACAGGGTTGTATACTCTCACCCAACCTAATCAACTTGTATGCAGAACACATCATGCAATGTGCAGGGCTTGACGAATGCAAGGCTGGGGTGAAAATTGCTGGAAGAAACATTAACAACCTTCAATATGCAGATGACACCACTTTGATGGCTGAAAGCAAGGATGAGCTGAGGAGCCTTCTAATCAAGGTGAAAGAAGAAAGTACAAAAGCTGGGTTGCAGTTAAACATCAAAAAAACCAAGATTATGGCAACAAGAATGATTGGCAACTGGGAAATAGAGGGAGAAAACGTAGAGGCCGTTACAGACTTTGTATTTCTAGGTGCAAAGATTAGTGCAGACTCAGACTGCAGCCAGGAAGTCAGGAGATGCTTACTTCTTGGGAGGAGAGCAATGACCAATCTTGATAAAATAGTGAAGAGTAGAGACATCACACTGACAACGAAGATCTGCATAGTTAAAGCCATGGTATTCTCCATAGTCACCTAAGGATGTGAGAGCTGGACCTTAGGGAAGGCTGAGCGAAGAAAGAGATGCTTTTGAACTGTGGTGTTGGAGGAAAGTTCTGAGAGTGCCTTGGACTGCAAGAAGATCCAACCAGTCCATCCTCCAGGAAATAAAGCCCGACTGCTCACTGGAGGGAAGGATACTAGAGACAAAGTTGAAGTACTTTGGCCACATCATGAGGAGACAGTAAAGCCTAGAGAAGACAATTATGCTGGGGAAATTAGAAGGTAAAAGGAAGAGGGGTCGACCAAGGGCAAGATGGATGGATGGTATCCTTGAAGTGACTGGGTTGACCTTGAAGGAGCTGGGGATGGTGACGGCCCACAGGGAGCTCTGGCGTGGGCTGGTCCATGAGATCACAAAAAGTTGGAAACGACTGAACGAATGAACAACAACATTGTGACATTGTATTGGATGTACCGTATTGAAACATTTTATCAGAAGAGTGTATTTATTGGTTTGTTGTAGGTTTTTTGGGCTGTATGGCCATGTTCAAGAAGCATGATCTCCTGACATTTCGACTGCATCTGTGGCAAGCATTCTCAGAGGTTTTGAGGTTTGTTGGAAATTAGGAAAATTGGGTTTATATATTTGTGGAAGGTCCAGGGTGGGAGAATGAATTCTTGTCTGTTGGAGTTAGGAATGAATGTTTCAATTGGCCACCTTGATTAGCATTTGATGGCCTGACAGTTTTTAAGTGTGGCTTGTTACAGATATATAAGCCCAATTTTACTAGTTTCCAACAAACCTCACAACCTTTGAGGATGCTTGCCACAGATACAGGCAAAAGGTCAGGGGAGAATGCTTCTAGAACATGGCCATACAGCCCCAAAAAAACCTACGACAACCCAGTGATTCCGGCCATGAAAGCCTTCGACAATATAGTGTATTTATTTATGACATTCTGCCATACCTACTCATCTACATGTTGCTCACAGCAGCTAAAAATGTGAAGCACCATATTGACAAGCTATACATAGCATCAGACAATAACCAATATGCTAGTGCAAAGTGAAATACTTATTATAAGAAAAATATCTGTATTTTCTTTGAGAAGGAAGCAGTAACAGTTATCATGCAGTCATTTATATTAAAGCACAACTTGCAATAACAGCATGTTTTTTATTTTACTATCCCTGTTAATGTTTGCTTCAGATTCATCCAGTGACTATTTAGGTGTGTACATAAGAGTTTGTAGATATGTGACAAAGTTCTTATTGTTTCAAATTTAAGCTCCTCAGATTTAAAAATCGTATTGTTGTTAGGTAACAGGAACACAGCTAAGCCTGTGTGTGCACATGACTAAATTCTCCTGCAAGTGTCTGGGGCCACAGTGATCATTTAGTTACATGAGCGGAGTATATGGTCTTGGAAGGCTTTGTTATGATTATTTAGCAGTGAGAAGTAAAAGTATACATTTTACTTCATGTATACTTCAAGTGAGGACATGTATACTTCATACTTTCCAGCATGAATGAAAAGTACTCTTTATCTGAGAAAATTAATAGATGTGAACTTCAGAAATAATGATAATAGAATAATAAAATTGGAAGAGACCACAAGGGCATCCAGTCCAATCCCTTGCCATGCAGGAAAACATAAGAATTCTACTTGTTAAAAAGTATTTCTCAGAACATGTACAGTAGGTTTGCAGGACTAATATTCATTTATCTCCTTTCTGATAGGCCCTTAGTGTTACAGAAACTCTGATCAAGCCCCTGGAAAGGTTCAGAAAAGAGCAACTTGGAGCTGTAAAGGTTTGTTAATATTTCCCTTTTGTAGCATATTTTCTGTGCATGTGTGTTTTGAGTAAAGGAGCAGGTTGGAGATTTTGTTTGTAAAGAAATAAAGGCAGGTGCATAGCTGACCATTTCTAATCGACCAAATTGAAGATATTGGATTAGAGGTTTCGCATAGTACTAATGAATGATTCCCATTTCCTGTGTATACTTAATTGAAAATTGGACTCCCTCCTTGTTAGCCAGTTCTTTCAGTTCTAACAGGCTTGTAGTAATTGACTGCAAAGGCTTTTAATAATATGCTGTCTTGCTGACTTTTAAAGGGTATTTGAAAATGATGGACCTAATTTCAAAAACACTATATTTCAGTGTTCTTTTCCCCTTACATAAATAGCCTGTTTCCTCAAATGTCAGTACCCACACAAATGCAATTACAGATTCAGTAGTGCTGAACTGCAGAACAGAAAACACCTTATGTTTCAGGGTCACCATCTTACAAGTGACTGAAGTTAGGGACTGTTTGTGTGCTGGGCGAGGCATCTAGCAGTAATCATTTGGAATTCTATTCCGCACTCTTTTAAGCAGAAAGAATTTCATTCATGGGTGGTTTGTGGTTACAGTGATATAACAATTTCAAATGGAGTCCATCTTTTTGAAATACCCTATATTGTTTGTATTCTAATTGATTAACTGTAAATGATTTTGAGTATATGGATAGTTTATATTTTAACAGCAATTTTCATATGTTTTGCTTAGTATTCGCAAGTGCTTTTAGCTGTAGGGGGAAAGATGGAACATAAATTAAGATGATAGTATGATGATGATGATGTCCTAAATATACTTACTAATGATTGAGCTGTAAAGTGGAACTTACTTCTGAATAAGCATCGTACATAAGATGATGCAGTAATGGTGCATAGGTAGTGCATAGGATGGGGGATATGAGTTTTAAAGACAATTTTCATGTATTTACTGTATTCTAATTCTATTTTTACCACACTGTTACTATTTAATTGTATTTAATTGTCTAGTGTGGATAGATGTTAGCCATCTTGAGTCCCCATGGGGAGAAAGGTGGGATATAAATGATGGTGATGACGATAATGATAATAGTTATCGGCGGGCATTTCAAAACAATCAACATTGACAAAATCACGATCTGTCAACTGCAAAAGGCCACCTTACTTTGATCTGCACGCATCATTCAAAAATACATCACACGATCCTAGACGCTTGGGAAGTGTTTGACTTGTGATTTTGTGATACGAAATCCAGCATATATCTCTCATTTGCTGTGACATACTGTGTTTTTGTGTCAGTAAAATAATAATAATAATAATAATAATAATAATAATATGTTTGATTTTATTTTAGTAGCTTGACAATATTCCAGATTTCTTGAAGAAATTATTTTAATATAAGTACTCAATGCTTTTATGAGTGTTTTTTTATAAGAGGCATTCCCTTTGAGTCACATAGGAAGAAAAGGCTCTTGTGAACTGATGTAAAAAAAAAATCTTGTTTTTATTAGTTGTTTTTTTTGTTCATATGCATGTTATTGTAAATGTTAAATGAAAGTAATTGATTTAAATCTGCAGTTTAAATTCATACTGCTATTGCTATTTCTTAGACTGAGTGACAAATACGAAATATAGTGTTTTATCAGTAACAACATGTTGTTCACCTGTATATAAATTTGCCTTGTTTTTTAATGCTCCTACAGTATTTTTTCTAATTTTGATTGATTGATCAATTTATGTTATGATACTTAATTCTCATGTAAAAATAGGGGGTTTTTTTTGCTTTTCATATGTTCATTAAATAAAACGACATTAACCAGATTTCCAGAATCCTCACAAAGAAATCCAGTATGATGAAGCACTTTAAATGTAAACTGCACCATATTTTAGCATAGAGTGAATGAAATCATCTATTGCCGTTGCCTCTGTTGCTGTATGTTTGCATTTATAAAAAAGCTCTTTAAAAATGAAATGGTTAAACAAAACAGTAAGAGAAAATGCAAATTTTTCACACTTTACATTTTCTTACAATTTAAAATATTTATAGGATGAAAAGAAGAAGTTTGATAAAGAAACCGAAAAAAACTATAGTTTATTAGACAAGCATTTAAATATGTCAGCTAAGAAGAAAGAAGCTCAGCTGGTGGAGGTACTCCTTTTATTACTTTGTCAAATATATTTATCCTTTTGCTGGAGAAAATGTAATTTGAGCAGCATTGATTGTCCTGAAATTATATTACTAGCATCTAATGTTATTTGTTTTAGAGTGATGCTAAGCAACAACACACAGTCTAAAATTGGAAGTAAATGGACAATTCCTTTTGGTTTTGAAAATGACCTGTTACAGGCCTCTCAAAAATTTGCTCCTATACATATCCTTAAAATAGAAATTTATTCCCTGTTGAAGATTCATGGGGAGTAATTCTCCATTTGGGGCCCACATTCTTTTTTTTCTGGTGAATAGGGCTTCATGAAAGATCCTAGAGGTTTTGTGCTCTATGGCCTGCCAGATTTTCACTTTCTTCTCTATACAGGAGAAATATATAGAAATTGAATCAGTGGTGCTTGAAATTCATGACTTACACATCATAAGCATATTGTAGCTATTGTCAAAGCATGTATATATTTAATACATCTGCAGTACATATGTAGTGCATATATTCTCAATTCGGTGTTGATTCTGGCATAATAATAATAATAATAATAATAATAATAATAATAATCTTTATATCCAGCCACCATCTCCCAAAAGGGACTCGGGGTAGCTTACAAGATACTCCAAAGTGCAACCTAACATAAACAATATTCTGGAATGTAGGTTGTTGTAGGTTTTTTCGGACTATATGGCCATGTTCTAGAGGCATTCTCTCCTGACGTTTCGCCTGCATTTATGGCAAGCATCCTCAGAGGTAATGAGGTCTGGCCTCACTACCTCTGAGGATGCTTGCCATAGATGCAGGCGAAACGTCAGGAGAGAATGCCTCTAGAACATGGCCATATAGTCCGAAAAAACCTATAACAACCTAATGATTCCGGCCACGAAAGCCTTCGACAATACAATGTACTGGATAGTTAATATTTTTCCTTTTGGAATCAGAACACAGATATATTAGGGACTTGATTGTAGTTGATAGTAAGTTATTAATATTAATTGTGCAAATGAGTGGCATATGTTTTAATGAAGCAAAAACCAAGCTCATTTTTAGGAGAAATGTATACAAATTAAGTGCTCTTTTGCATTTTTCATCTGCTTATGATGACAATTACAAATTGTTGAAATTCACTCATTAATCAACATAACAATTTTGTTTGTTTATAGTATGCTATATTTATTGGTTGTCTTAGGCTCTTAATATAAAGGATAGTCTAATAAACATTTTACCAGAATTATCTCATGTTAAAATCACCAAATGAAGTCTTTTTGGCTGTTAGAATTATGTGCACCTAAGGCCATTGAAAGCATTTTATATATATACTCAATTTGGTGTTGATGTCTGGCATTTATACTAGATATGATACGGGAATCTCAAAACATCATTTTCTTTATACAGGCTGACACACTAGTGGAGCAAACCCGAAAACATTTCTATGAGTTGTCACTTGAATATGTGTGTAAGCTACAAGAGATACAAGAACGGAAGAAATTTGAGTTTGTAGAACCTGTAAGTGGATAATTCCCAAAAGAAAGTGTTGAAATAAAAGTGTAATTTCTTGTTGCCAGAAAATTTAGATATGCATAGTTCAGCACAAGGCCCTTTCAGTGCATTCTTAGTTAAACCAATGTTCGCACTGCAAGTTTTTTTTTTCATTTGCAAGGTGAACTTTATTACTAAGCCATCCTTATACATAGATTACCATGAGGGAGTTATTTATGTATAGTGATCCCACACTTTTGGGATAAGGACATACAGAGCCATGCGAGTGATGTGTAAGATGTGTCAGCATTACTGCAGCAAAGTAATCAGTGTAATTTAGTATGTAATTAAAGTGGAGAAACCAGACTTAACCTCAGTGGCAGTCTTATTACATTTTTCAGTCTTGAAGGCAGTTAGTTGTTTCTGTATTGGGAGTATTAAGTATCCACGTGAATTGTGAAATTAACGTTTTTATGATTTTGTGCACTAATGAGAACGGAGCTGTGTTCTACAGTGGGCCTTTGGCATTTGCTAGGACTCTGGATTCCAAAATTTGTTGATATTCCAGTCCCATTATATCCAATGACATAATAAAATACTGTCCCTTATATGAAATTGCAGAATCAGAGTTTGTTTTGGGGACTTTTGGAGGATGGGAGGATTATTGAATCTGTAGGTACAGAAGAAAAGATATAGAAGATCAACTGTATTATACAGGGTTTAATTCCAGGAAAATGAGTTTCAGCTTATGTGATATTAAAACACATGGTAACAGAGAACTTACTTTTCACTATCTGAGCTAAAAAAGAAAATTCTTATTGTATTCTAGGTCCTGTCTTTTTTTCAGAGTATGTTCACTTTCTACCATCAGGGCTATGAGCTTGCCAAAGATTTTAACCATTACAAAATGGCTCTGCAAATCAATATCCAGAATGTAAGTGGATGTACTCTTAATGTAGATTGAAAAAATAACAAGTAAAATGTGCTTCAGTGCATCTTATTTATGGTTATTCAATTTTTTGTGGGGTGGGGGAGAGATTTTCTATATTATGAAGTGATTTGGAGTCGTTCTAGGTGATTTAATGCCATCTTCAGGCTAGTGAGTTGTATGACTTGTTGAGTTTATGCAGTACTTCTGCCACCTATTGCATATTTTAGTCATGAAAAAATGATAAGGAAATAAATAATTTTCTCTATTTGTAAATTGCATACATGCAAGTTCATGCAAGCTTTTAGTGTATACATTGTGTTTCATTTTTTCAAAAGATACAATCATTTATGGTGTGTTACTTTCCAGCCAGATTTATACAATGCATACTGCACTTGTGTTATTTTTAAGAATGACACTTAACCCAGAATTCTTTCTCATAGTCTACTACAATCTATACACTATTTTAATTCTTTATTATATTTTGGTAATGTAGGAGAATGTGATTCGCTATGGCAATGCCTTATAAGACTTCTTGCACAGTATCGCATAGAGAAGGACTTTCTAAGAATAAAGAAAGTAAATAATGCAACCATATGGTTCTGTTAATTACAACATATAACAAAATACATTGTGTCATGGTAGTGACTGAATCAGAGAAGTATAAATATTTTAGAAGATTAATCACCTGGCAATTCTTAGTCAAGAGCCTTTGGCATCAAATCATTATATTGTCTAATGAAGGTTAATGATCATAGGAATTTATTTTGGTAACTTTGAAATGTTTCAGTTGTTCCTTTTGTAAAAAACAAAAACAAACCTGATAATAATCGAGAAATACATTATTAAACGAATACTTCCTAAAACGTCTGGATTGGATTTTCTTATAAATATATAAATTAAGGTGTACCTCCCCTGCCCTCTTCTCAGTCTCATTATGCTTTTTAAGGCATCGTCTTACATCTCTTGCAATCAGATTATGTCATATTATCAGAAGCATCAAATTATATCAGCATATCCAATTTCAGAAATAGCTATTAATATTATGCCATTTCTTTTTTCTCCTCAAAAAAGTGCATAGAGAAATATTATTTTGCTTCCCCCCCCCCCTTCTGTGATCTAATGCAAAATCTTAACTCCATAAAATATCAACCTCCAATTTGGTCTTTGTTATCGTATATGAGATATCAAAATGATTTTTTTAAACCACTGTTTGCTTTCCTTCTTTAGATGTATTTTGTTGATGGTTTAAGTTATAAAATAACAACTAAAATTTTCTCTTACGTAGACAAGAAATCGTTTTGAGGGAGCAAGGTCAGAAGTAGAAGAGCTCATGAATAAAATCAAGCAAAGTCCTCAAGAACATAAAAGAGCCAATCAGTTTACAATGGAAGGTTACCTTTATGTACAAGAGAAAAGTAAGTGACTTTTTAATTCTCATGTTATAACTTGTCCACTATAAGTGCCAAAAAACATTCAGGGTGTCTCAGTTGAATCCACTTTGCATTTACGGCTGGTGGGACTATGAGAAAGAGCATTTTCAGTGGTTGGTCCTACATTTTGGAGCTCCCTTCCTAAAAAGACTAGATTATAGAGTAGTCCCCTCCTTGCTATCCATCTAGCAGATGGAAAAGACTTCATGCAGACAAGATTTTAACAAAGGGTTGTAAGTACTTTGTTGTTTTAAATTACATGGTGTAACTTTAAAATCTTACAGGATGAACCTACACATTTTAGTCCGCGTATTTAAAAGTCCCAGAAACCCATGAGAAGGAATGATTTGTCATTTAAACATACTTAGGTTCCCAATACCTGTTTCAGGTTTTAACGTGTAAGCTAAGAGAGAGTTCATGCATGTAGCCAACAGACAACAATTTGCCCTCCTCTGCTTTCTATTTATGCGCTTAATTGTTTCTCAAGATCTAAGTCCCCACTTCTTCCCCACATTTCCAATAATTATTATTCTGATTTTATAGAACCTTGTTAACTGCTGGGGTGCTAGATGCCATTGAAAAACATCTTGTACCAATTTCCTTTTATATTTATAGATCTTGAATATTTCATTTTGGAATCCTATATATTCTCCCAATCATCTGATAGAATGGAGTGACCGAAATCCTTCCTAGCAGAAATAAATTTAAATATTTCCAATCTTCTAATTTTTTCTCCTGGTGGTCCTGTAAAGAAATTTTTAAAATACTGGAAAAATGCATGATCACTCCCAAAAAATATTAAAACTAAAGTTTGATCTAAGGCTCGAATATTATCTACTAAACAGGACAAATTTTGAGATAGGGAGGAACGAAGACAAAATATACTTTTATTTGACTACTGCGGCAAGAACTCTTCTAGCTCAGAAATGATGTTCGAAATAAATTCGGACTGTGGACTCTTTCATTATAAAACATATGGACTACCCTAACCCTAAACTTCTTAATGCAAGATCAGAAAGAGAGGCATAAGACTGATTGAGCACCATTTAAAGAATACCTTCAGGAAAGGAAGCTTACTCACACCATTCAAGTAGAGGAGTCATGAGAGAGATGTGGCAGGACAAAGATGGGGGAAGACAAGAGAGAAGAAAACAGGTGAAAAGCTGCGAGAATATGGTGAGGGAAACAAAAAGGGAAAAAATAGGGAAGCATGAAACAAAGTCCTCGTTGAATGGATCGGAAGATAAATGACCCCCCTAACCCGCAACCCATTGTGTTATCCCCCTCCCCTTTCCCCAATCCGGTTTATTCTTGTTATATATATATATATATATAGAGAGAGAGAGAGAGAGAGAGAGAGAGTTGTTGTTGTTTTTGTTTTGTTTTCTCCCCTCCTCCCTTTTCCCAGCAAACTTTCTGATTATTATCTCAATCCTGATTTTTATGTATTTCTATCAAAAAATGTATGCAATGAAATGAATTTTAAAGTTTCTCAAGATCGAAATGAGACATAAAGCTGACATACTGCTCTGTACATTTTTCTCATTTAGTTCTGTAGGCTTGCTGTGGTCCTATTTAATTCCTTTCTGTGCAGTTACACTAATGTTTCAAGAATTTGGAGTAAGCATTATCAAAATCAGAATTTCAACCTATATCTTGACATTGCTTACATGTGAAACTCAAGGTGAACAGCACTTCACATGGTCCACGACAAAATATTTGACAATATGAAAAGAATAATATAATTCATGGAACCTGGTCTTCCTCCTGTTATCATCTCAGAGCAGAACAATAGGAAGTCAACATTTACTGTGTTCCATTTTATCAGTCAGTTTCAGAAACACTGGTTGGTTTAAGATGGTCAGGAAAATGGAATTGTGAATTATGTTTTAACTCTAGCAGCATTTGGATGCAGAATTTGCTAATTGGAGCAAAATAACTATTGCACATCATGCTTTTAAATGGAATTGCAGTTCTGGAACTCTTCTTTAAAAGTCTGTATTTTTAAAATAAGGTTTATGGCTCTTTGTTCCTTGGTTACGTGTTTTAAACAGGCTGTAATTTTTTTCTGCCATAGTAAAAAAACCCCACACATTAATTTTCAAGGAAATTTTACTTTCTCAAGGCTTCCTTATTAATAAGGTGTGTTGTCCTGTGTACCTTATTTAAATATGATTTGTTGCACCAGTGGCAAATTCTGCAATGGATTCAGGAATCAAATGCAGACTCCCATAACTTGATCACTCCTGCTAAAGGTAAACATAATTAATGTTGACCACAGTTTGTTGCATCAGCTGACACAAAAATACGGATTAATTAAAATTAAAAAACTGAAGGGGAACACGTAAATCCAAATGTCATGGTATCATGTTCTGATAGTGGTGAAACCCAGTTTAGTGTTTGTTCATATAACAGTAAAATGGGTTTCATCACTGTGTCTTAATGCAGTTGTTTCGGCAGAAAAAAGAAACATATTGTGTCCCCCCTGCTTTCCATCTAATATTCTGAGTACAATATTTCATCACAAATCAAGTATTTAATTGATAATAAACAAGCCATAAGAATTTTAAGTGTTTACACATGTAAAGATAATAAGCAAATCTCAGCAGAAATCAAAGAGCAGTTTCTGTTCTGGTGTAATGTGTTTCGCAACACTTTTCTGGAAGTGGAAGATGTTTTTCATTTGTGTGTATCTTTTGGATTCAGCTCAGCATTTGCAGGTGACTTTAATTCATCCTACCACACTTTTATAAACACCTCTTGCATTCATGACCTCTTACAAATTTTCTTCCTCCTGTTATTCATTACTTTTACTGTTATAATTCTTCAAAATGATCTAGCAAGGGGGAACACATAGACTTTCACAAAAATCTATGTATTAATCATGCCCTGAATGATTAGATCATTCTTTTTTTCTTTTCTTTTCTTTTTTTGATAAAAGGACCTGCACCATTTGGCTCTAGCTGGGTGAAACACTACTGCATGTACAAGAAAGAGACAAAGAAGTTTACTATGATACCATTTGAGCACAGGTCGGGAGGAAAACTTGTGAGTACATTTCACATTTAATTTTTTAATGTATCTAAATGAGAATATGAGAAATATGGTACACTTTATATCTTCACATTTTTTTGTTTTAATTATAGTAAACTAAAATAGGATGATTGCAATTCTGAAAAGTTCCAAAGAGTGGTAATGAGCATAACAAATAATATCCCATTTTCCTTCGTAAAATTATAAATATCCTTCATTTATAATAATTCATCACTGTGAAAAGATTCTGAGGTTGAGTTGATAATAACTAGCCCACAAGAGATAAAAAGTACTTTAAACATTTATTTTGTAACCCTCATGTTTATGTTGCAGGCTTGATGTTTTTGCTTTTGTGATAGCCTTGCTCAGATTGTTGGCTTTCCAAAGCAGGATGTTCTTTAAGTACTGTTTGGGACTCAGAGGGCAAGCATTTCCTTTTCCTAATAACAATTTCCTGTTCTCATCCTCTGAAAGCTTCAACATATTCTGTTGATAGCATGTAAAGAATAATATGAGAGTAAATCACTGGCATTCTGGATATTACAACTACTGTTCCAAACCATTATAGGACTTAAAAAACAGACCACTCCAGTCTTTTTGATATATCCTGTCACCCTTTTTGTGATATCATTATAGCAAAACAAAAAAACCCACATCTAATATCTGTATAGTTGGAATGGCTTTTAGTGACACTTTGTTTAGAATTTCAGTTTTAAATGGGTGCATCTTCTTTGACCTTTCCTCCTGAAATCATTATTTTTATTACTGAATAATTAAAAAATAATTACCTCCACTGCTAAAATTGTCATGTAATACAATCTTTTTCAGGGTGAACTGGAAGTCTACCTCCTTAAGCATTGTATTAAAAGGAATACTGATACTATAGATAGGCGGTTCTGTTTTGATATGGAAGCAGTAGACAAGTAAGTTAGTCAAGCAAGTATTAATAATATCTATTTTATACAATATAATTGTTTTTAAATGTCATAAAGTTAAAAAGAACTTTATTTATATTCCGCCCTATCTCCCAAGGAGGACTCAGGGCGGATTCCAACATACAGCAGCAAACATTCAATGCCTCCATAAAACAAATACCAACATCCTAACCCTTAAATAGTTATTTTGGGGTAACTGAGAGCTGATAAAGAGCTTCCTTTTATAAATAGGTGGTTGTTTTTAACTCAAGATGATGAAGTGCATCGTTTTCCTATGCTGGATTAATTCTCCCAGTTGTTGAGTATGGGGGTGGGGGTGGGGGAGCATGTGTGTGAAGGCTGACTTGAGCCATAACACCGAATCATATTAAAGCATTCCAGTATTAGAAATTTGGCCATGTCTTTAACTTGCCAGGGAAATAAAATCTAAGAATGGCAAGCGAAAGCTTCTAATTTCCTTCTCATAGTTAAAATGGAGGAAAAGAAGTAAAGATACAGAGGAGGAAGAGCAGTAGAAATCCTCACACCTCATACATATAACAGCATGTTTTTCTTTGTTGTTGTGTCAACATTAGAACATTATGTGAACATGCTTTACATGATGTGGTTGAATGATTCACATATACTACAGAAAGATGCCATTTTGCATCTTACAGTTTTGTAGAAACCTGGAAATTTACTTCCATACAAAAACCAATAGTTTAGTTTAGTTTACCTGTCTTCAAGCACAAGAAGCAAGGTGGCAATATAGAGGCCCGAAATATCTAATCCTTTTTTAGATTACTAATCAAATGGAGTAGATTATATGTCTAAGTATAGTTAATCATTTCAAAGATGGTTATGTTTTTATGTTGAGTACTTGTGATGAGATAATTTGGAAATGATGTTATGCTCATTAAGGATATAAAACCTAATTATTTTCCATCGTTCTTTTAAAGACCTGGTATATGTATGACATTGCAAGCATTCTCCGAAGAGGACAGAAATCACTGGTTTGAAGCATTAGATGGAAAGGATTCTGTAAGTAGAGTTTTTTTTTTACTTTGCTGTACTAGGAGAACATTCCTATTACATATATTATATGGAGGCAAGTTTGTCATAAGCAGCTCAAGCAGTGGTTCTTAACATGTGGGTCCCCAGATGTGTTGGCCTTCAACTCTCAGAAATCCTGGTAAACTGGCTGGAATTTCTGGGAGTTGTAGCCAAAACACCTGGGACCCACAGGTTGAGAACACTGAGGTAGAGGAACTGCTGCTGGGGTCAACCCAAGCAAAGAGGTACTGTGTGGCCTGAGTCCCAAATGAAAGTGTACTGAGATCCAGTAGTGGATTCTGTCTCAGTTTGAAAAAAACTAGCAGAAATCATGCTTCCTGATTCTTTCTACTATTAATTCCATATTTCTGTGATACAGTTGATATACAGAATAATCTGATACACAGAAGTCCCTTACAATTGAAAAGGGGAAATGAAAATACAGATAAATAAATGGTATAAAGAAGTCTGGAAAATGGCACTGAACGATAAGCTAACATCGAACTTAAAAGTAAAGAAGGGATTATATAAAAAAAATGGCTTTGGAAGTATTTGGAGAAAATTTCTAGGAAAAGTATTGGAAAAAGAAGATGGGAATTTACCTCCAAATGAAGAATTGAACTTTTGGTGGGACTTTAGAAGAAAAGAAGGCTCTGGAGAAGGGCAGCACAGGGGTGAATGTAGATAAAAGAGAGGGAAATGTATAGTATAAATATAACTGTATTTTTTCTCAAATAAAAGTTTGTTAATAAAAAAAAGAAGTCCTTTACAACCTGATACCATCATTTTGGAACATACTACATAAAAGTAATGCTGTATTTGCACTTGAAATATGGCAGTGTTGTTCCCATGAAACTAGCTATAGGAGAGTAAGGTCTTAGGGATAGCTATATTTGTCTATTGGAGCAATAATAACAAATAGTATCATATTACTTTAACTAGGGCATAAGCTTGTTGTTGTGGTTCATTCGTTCAGTCGTTTCCGACTCTTCGTGACCTCATGGACCAGCCCACACCAGAGCTCCCCGCTGGCCATCACCTCCCCCAGCTCCTTCTGAGTCAAGCCAGTCACTTCAAAGATGCCATCCATCCACCTTGCCCTTGGTTGGCCCCTCTTCCTTTTTCCTTCCATTTTCTCCAGCAACATTGTCTTCTCTAAGCTTACATACATCAAAATTTACTTCATCAGATATGTTGGATGCCATTCAAAATTGATGGGAATGTGCGAGGGCATACACATTTACACCTTGAACATACACAGATGTAGGGTGGAATGGGCCAAAAATGCAGACGTTTTCCTATAGATGTGGATTTATATCGCTAGTTTATTTATTTATTTCCATTTTACTATATTTATACCCTGCCCTTCTAACCCTGAAGGGACTCAGAGTTACGTACAGAATTGTGGCAAAAATTCAATGCTGCATAACACACACACACAATAATAAATATATCAAATTATAAAACAGTTAAAACATATAAACAGTTAAGACATAAATACAATAAAAGCAGATTAAAAAACATACATAGTGCCATGACTTGATTTTTCATGCTTCCTGATTTTCCCATAGTCATTATTCAGGCATTAAGACTGAAGTCAAATTCTATATGTTACTACCTCTGCCAGGTCTTTAGCTTTTTCCTAAAGACCAGGAGGGATGGAGCCAGTCTGATGTCACTGGGAAGAGAGTTCCACAGCCAAGAGGCCACTAAGGCCCTGTCTCTCATTCCCACCAGTCGCAATTGCAAATGGAATGGGACCGTGAGCAGGGCCTCCCCAGCAGATCTTAAGGCTCTAGTTGGCTCATATTGGATTTATATGTCTTAACTGTTTATACGTTCAGACAGATAAGTCGGACCTCTGCATATTTTAGTGCAGAGGAGAGTGCCTCAGATATTAATTAGTTCAGGTCTCTAAATATTACGGGGTGATGGCACACAATCTTTACTCTTCAGTAAAGATTTTTTTTAAACAACCACTGTGTATAAGAAAAGAATGAGAGCAGAGAATAACACAGTGGTAAAAATGAGAAAACAAGATTTCTGGTTTCTTCTTAGCAGCCCACCCTTCATCTGCCATTTATGTTGCAAGCCGCCCCAAGTCCCCAAAGGGAGATGGGACATCATATAAATTGAGTTGGCTTGACTTGACTTCAGCGGCAGAAAAAAATATATTTTTGTCCCTCATTTAGATCCTTGTTTTTCTTTCTTGGCTAGGTTTTCCTCAACTTGAACAGGGCTAATACAAAAAGGCAAGGAAGTAAGTACTTGAATTAAATTGCCATTTTATTAAACTGTATTATGATATATTTCCCAGAATCATTTCAAGATGTGAATATTGGACTGGAATTACAAGTGTACCTTAGTGTTCCACTCATCAGTTAAAGAAGTAGCATATTATTCTGCATGGATATACAAATAAATTTAAATAGATGAACAAGAAAGCTTTCAGTGTGACCTTTGCTAGAAGAAAACTGGTTTGAGAGATGGCACATGGCACAGAGATCCGCCTTTGAAGAGAGAATTTGAGAAATGGCCCTGAGGCAGATTGTACAAGTGCAAGAATTCTGTTAAGATCTAGGAGGAAGGAAAGTCCCATTCATGAGCAGTTTATGTGTGCCTGGTATCCCAATCCATTCTATTCAGTATCCCAATCCATTGTAATCGAAGAGCAAACATTAGGTTTGATTCAGTATTTATCACTACATCAAGGTTTGACAAAACAAGGAGACCATTGAGTTGTTGTAGGTTTTTTCGGGCTATATGGTCATGTTCTAGAGGCATTCTCTCCTGACGTTTCACCTGCATCTATGGCAAGCATCCTCAGAGGTAGTGAAGTCTGTTGGAAGTAGAAAAAACAAGCCCTGGAAACAGCAACAAAAAACCTCAATATATGGTTCAGATATGTGGATGACACTTTCACCATTTGGAGCCATGGAGGAGAAGGTTCCGGGACCATCTTAACAGCATCCACCCTAGCATCCAATTCACCATGGAAAAAGAAAATGAAGAAAAACTGCCTTTTCTAGATGTCCTAGTCATCCGCAAACCAGATAAACAATTGGGTCACACAGTTTACAGAAACCCCACACACGCAGATAGATATCTACATAAAAACTCCAACCATCACCTAAGTAAAAAAAGAAGCACCATTAAAGCTTTGTCAGACCATGCAAAAGGAATCTGCGAACCCCCTCCTCCAAGATGAACTGAACCACCTAAACTGGACTCTACAAGCCAATGGATATGCCACCTCAGACATCAGAAGAGCTGCAAGACCGAGAACAAGCCATGAGAGTCAAGACAAAGATCCACCCAGAGGAAAAGTGTTCTTGCCATACCTCAAGGGAACCACTGACTGCATTGGGAAGCTGATGAGGAAACACAACATACAAACTATCTACAGACCCACCAAGAAAATCCAACAAATGCTACATTCAGCAAAGGACAAGAGGGATCCTTTCACTTCTGCAGGAGTCTACCATATACCATGCAGCTGTGGACAAGTCTACATAGGGACCACCAAGCGCAGCGCCCAAACACGAATCAAGGAACATGAAAGGCACTGCAGACTACTTCAACCAGAGAAGTCAGCCATAGCAGAGCACCTGATGAACCAGCCTGGACACAGCATATTATTTGAGAACACAGAAATGCTGGACCACTCCAACAACCACCATGTCAGACTACACAGAGAAGCCATTGAAATCCATAAGCATGTATACAATTTCAACAGAAAGGAGGAAACCATGAAAATGAACAAAATCTGCCTACCAATATTAAAAAACTCTAAAATTACAACAGCAAAACAACAGAGAGGAAACAATCAGGGACAGCTAATCACCTCTCAACAAAAGATTCCCTCAGGCACTAACAAGCCATACCAAAAAAACTGCCAGGCCATCAAATGCTATTCAAGGTGGTCAGTTGAAACATTCATACCTAGCTCCAACAGACAAGAGTTCTTTGTCCCACCCTGGTCATTCCACAGATATACAGTATAAACCCAATTTTCCTAGTTCCAACAGTCCTCACAACCTCTGAGGATGCTTGCCATAGCTGCAGGCGAAACATCAGGAGAGAATGCCTCTAGAACATGGCCATATAGCCCAAAAAAACCTACAACAACCCAGTGATTCCGGCCATGAAAGCCTTCAACAATTTACAAGGAGCCCATTTTTTCTTCCTGTCACTTTCTGTTGTACTTGCCTATAATTTTTGTTTTATAGTGTTCATAGTTTGTGGCTATATCCATGCAGTGGTTTATCTCATGTGTTACAAGCATACTTGACACACAAGTACAAAACATAATTTGTAAATTGAGGTGTATGATACGCCGTCCGTTTTCATGATGATGAAGACCCTTGGAAAGTGGCAAAACAATGAGAAAAAGCTACTTTTTTAAAACTGAGGCAACACACACAGACAAATCTCTAACACAACTCTATGGTTAACTTTACAGCAAACAGGATAACAGATTCCCAGAGAGAGCATATTAATCAGATTAATACTTTCCTAGAGATAACATACTAATTGGGCTCAACTGTACTAGCAAGCCATATTTTCACGCAAATTATAAGAGAGAGTGGACAAAGAGAGGATAAAAGTGTGTGAGAGCCTGAAATCTGCGATGTAATGACTCACCATGGTGTCATATTACATCTGAATTGAAATGTAATATATTAGTTTTGAAATGTCTTTCCCTGCTTCTTTAAAAATTATTTTAAATTAAGACTAAATTTGAATAATTACAACCTTGTATGTTTTTGGAGACTTAATCTCTTTTTTGTAAGAAAAGTGTAATATATGATTAGAACTGTAATATTTGCAAATGTTTCTCCTCCTAGGTGCGCAGCTAGATAAGATTGGGTTCACAGTTATCAGAAAATGCATCAGCGCTATTGAAACAAGAGGTAATAACAAACTCCATCAAGTGTTAGTTTTCATGAAAATGCATGGTTGAGCTGAGAACATGGTGGGAAAATGATTCATCATCACAGCTGTGGTGGAGCTTGTAGTGTTACAAAGAACAACATGGGAAAACAACAGCTTCTTTAGTCTTTTGTTAACTAAAACTACTCAAGATTTGCTTCTTTTCCTTAAAAAGTACAGTAGGAAAGGTTTCAACAGAATGCTCATACTCTAATAATAGGTGTTTTGGAATATAATTTCCAAAATATAATGAATTTGATAACTATAACTATAGCAAACAATATATGACAAAGAAATACAGACCTTTATGGAAAGCCAGAAGTTAAAACAAGAGGTAAACATATGTTCAATGTTGTACAAAGAATTCCACATAACAAGAAAGTCTGCACACATACCTAAATGTATAAAAAGCCAGCTCAGAATAAATATAGCTTATAACAGATTACAGACGTACAAGCTATATAATCTTTTGTTTGTTACAGCAGATAATTTTATTTATTTGTTTGCTGCCTATCTCCCGGAGTGGGTCATGAAAATAATAAAAAATAGTAACATTCTAAAACAATTAAAACGATCATATTAAACCATATAAAACCATTTAAAAAGCAGACTAAATTTAAAATATAAATCAAGTGCCTCCCTCATTAAGAAGCCACACTCAATTTCCACATGAAAAGCCTAGTTAAACAAAATGATCTTTGCCTGCTGGCAAAAGAAGGACGGGGAAGGAAAAGAATTCTAGAAATTGGGAGCAGCCACTGAAAAGCCACTCTCGTGTGTTCACCAAATGAGCCTGTGATTGTGGTGGGATGGATATGAAGTCTGTGGGAAATCATATCAGCCGATTCTAGCAGTGTGTATAAAGAGATACGGTCTTTCAGATACTCTGGACTTAAACTGTATAGGGCTTTGTAGATGAAGACCCTAAATTTCACATCTCAAGAAATGAATAAGGATATTTGGTGAGGGCTGAGATGTGTTCGTTTGTAGCATGTCTCCTGTTTGTTTATAGTATTGATATATCGAGTATAAGCCGAGCCGAATATAAGCCGAGACACCTAATTTTATCACAAAAAACTGGGGAAATGTATTGACTTGAGTATAAGCCGAGGGCGAGAAATGCAGCAGCTACTGGTAAGTTTCAAAACAGAAATAGATACCAATAAAATTACATTAATTGAGGCATCAGTAGAATAAATATTCAAAAATATTTACATAAAATTGTAATTTAAGATATATCTGTCCAACTCTAGTTAAACCATTATTCTAACCTCCTTCAGTGTAAATGTGCTTACATATCCTTCCAATAATAATAAAGGGAGTAAAATAATAAATGTAATAAAAATAATAATAGAGTCAAATAATGGAAATGTAATAACAGTAATAATAGAGTAAAATAATAAATGTAATAATAACAGTAATAAATAGAGTAAAATAATAAGTTATAATAACATGAAAGAGTAAAATAATAAATGTAATAATAATAAATAGAGTAAAATAATAAATGCAATAAAATAATACTAATAATAGAGTAAAATAGTAAATAACATTGACTCGAGTATAACCCAAGGGGAGATTTTTCAGCCTAAAAAGGGGGCTGAAAAACTAGGCTTATACTCGAGTATATACAGTATATTGTCTTCCAACAATTTTGCAATATCCTTAAATCACAGCATTATTATCCCTTGTATCAGGAACTGGAGCTAAAGCTTATTATACAATGGCTTGTTCAAGGTTGAACAGAGATACCCCTCATTCACTTAACCACCATGCTACTGAAACTCTTACAAGAGTTAGGTTTGTGTCTTTCCGTTTTTAAGGTTTTAGTTTTATTTAGAAAATATTTTAAACGTGTGGAAAGCAAGCCATCTTTATACTTTTCATTTTTTAATGCTGATAACATTTTTAAAATGTTTAGCATGTTTTCTCTTTAGGATTTCCAGCTCTGTCTTGTACTTAATAAAGATTCAAAGTATATTATTTATTCTAAAGAAATTCGCATCACAACTTTTAAGACAAATTTTACAGTCACTGTTACTGTAGAATTAATATGCTAAGATGATTTAATATGTTTATCTGCATATTGGCCAGTATGCAACAGAGAGGATGTTGGGTTGTGAAAAGGCTATCAATCCCTGTAGTATTGAAGGACTCAAGTTCTTCAGGCTGCATTGGATAGCAAGGGATCCTTTCAGGCTGGCAGCTGGATAACTTGAATTTAGGCAATTATGTTTCTAGGTTCTTGTGGTTTTTTTCCGGGCTATAGGGCCATGTTCTAGAGGCATTTCTCCTGACGTTTCGCCTGCATCTATGGCAAGCATCCTCAGAGGTAGTGAGGTCTGTTGGAATTAGGACAATGGGTTTATATATCTGTGGAATGGCTGGGGTGGGGCAAAGAGCTCTTCTCTGCTGGAGCTAGGTGTGAATGTTTCAACTGACCACCTTCATTAGCATTATGTTTCTGGTTGCCAGAATTTCATTAACCCAATCCACTGATGAAATGGAAGGTGAAGCATAGAATTTTCCTCTTGGTTGTATTATTTCTTGTTTGTCAACTAAAGGAAGAAGTAATGCTGCACTGAAAAGACACTCTAATGTGGCATGTAGCTACATAACATTTCATAAGCCCATTTATCCAGAGGGAACCTTTGGCTGAGATTGGGGAGTGTAAGGTTCTGTGCATACCTTGCACACAGGCGCAGCACAGAAACAAGAACAATCACTGAAGTCCTATTCAGAAGCATGTTCATCCAAGTTTGTGACTGACTTGCTGAGATTCAGCTTGTCTTGAACATAGTGAGACTTAAATTTAAATAAAAGGCAGGATCCTGACATAATTATATTCATTATCATCTTCACAGTCTAACTTAGCCAATTATATGTGACTAAATACTTTCTCGTCTATTAGAGGAATTTATACTTTTAACAGGTTTCTATAATTAAAGCATATAAGCGTTATGATCTTTTTAAAATTGCAGCAGCATTAATAATTATTTAAGTATATCTATTTTTACTGTAAAATTACTGGTATTAGCATAAACCAGCATTTTAGTGTAGTATATGAGGGCAGTAGACCAGAACTCAAGCAAGCAGAACTGTCAGGTAACTGCCCAGCAAAATAAAATAATAAAAAAATTAAAAATCAAAGAAATAATACAATACTTTAAATAAAAAGGCTGTTTTATAATATAGTAAAGCTGCATTACATGAAGTTTTTCTTTAGTTGCTTTTAATTTACCATATTTTAAATTTAATATCAAGTCAGTACAGAGTTTATGGTATGGTATGGGATATAGTATTAGTTAAGCCTAAATAATAACTCTTCAGCAACCCAAAACTACATTTTCCAGCATCAAGCAATCCCCATGGTTCTCAGTTAATTGAGAGTCTACTGTATGACTTTATCAGGAGTGTTGTCATAGACAGTAATCTTCCACGCTGGATATGTTATGAAAGGATCTGCCTGGGCTTTTTAAATTCTCTCTAATGTACACTCAGCTAATTGGTTGACTAAGCAAGATGAATCACAACTGAGGTGTACACTACCTCAGTTAAAGTCAGTTAGGTGTCCCTTTTATCCTGCAAGTTGTAGCTGGTGTGTATAGTGTGGTTTGTTTGCTTTCTAAAATCTACTGCTGTCCCACCTTCTTGAGTACCAGTGTGTAGCCATTGTGTTTCTGTTTTTTCCATTCCAAATCATTTGGCTCTCTTCCCAGATTGATGTGTGCAATAGCCAGTTTTCGTCTGCTACATAGACTTATACACACTCAAAACTGCTCTTATTAGGTTAAATTCTGTTATTTGAAGTTATATGAACAGGCCAAGAGGTTGGCAATAGAATGATCTCTGGCCGGTAATCCTTTAAATACTCACAAAACGTTTCTGCTAACCCAGAATGTGATCTAGATAGGGGTGCACATCACCTTTATCAGTCATTTTGCTTACCACCTTTGGCACTCTAAATGTGAAATAAAGATATGAGTGCACTTTATATTTGTTTTAAGAAATCTTCGTGGCTTTGTCTGAAATATAATTAAACATCTTTAAGGTATGTAATTAAAAGGTGGAAACTTTCAGAGATTTCATGCTGTTTGAGGGCTCTTCCACACAGCCCTATATTCCAGAATTTCAAGGCAGAAAATCCCACATTATCTGAATGTGGGCTCAGATAATCCAAAACAGATATTGTGGGATTTTTTGCCTTGATATTATGGGATAAAGGGCTGTGTGGAAGGGCCCTGAGTCTACATTAAATTTAGTGAATATCTTTCTTTACATGAACAACATGTCTTTTAGGCCACTTAGATGTATGTGAAATGGTAGTTGGTGTGTGTGTGTGTGTGTGTGTGTGTGTGTGTGTGTGTGTGTATGTATGTATGTATATGTGTGTGTGTGTGTGTGTGTGTATATATATATATATATATATATATGTATGTATGTATGTATGTATGTATGTATGTTTTCCTCTAAGGCATATTGATTGATCCACTTTTTAAAAGTTCCACAGTAAGAATTCATTGCCTGCTCATCATTTTGTTGTAATAACAACTTACTGTGTAGATAGATGGCAGCAGTGAGCTTTCATTTTTTATATTTCCACAGTAAGCTTGAATCAGTTTTATTGTACTTGAAGGAAACTTCTTCATAGGGAAAAATATCCAGAACAATATCTAGCCATTTTTGAAATTAAAAAAATTAAATTCATATGAAGACTCACGTTAGTCATACAATCATTTAAAATATTTACTTGTAAAACAAATTCGACTGTAACTTTATCACCCCTGAATATTTACTGTACTTTGACTGGTGGTTCAATTTGGCTGATTGAGGGCCCTTCCAGACATCCATATAACCCAGAATATTAAGGCAGATAATCCACACTATCTGTTTTGGATTATCTGAGTCCACACTGCCATATAATCCAGTTCAATGTGGATTTTATACAGCTGTGTGGAATGGACCTTTGTTCACATTTGCAAAGCCACCAATACCCAACACCTGTATTAGTATATGCTGTCAAGAAATTAATTCACAACAAAAAATTACAGCTTGACTGTGATATTAGTGGAATGCTTTGATCTGCTAAAACTGCCTTGGGTTTAGCATATATTTTGAATTTGAACTCTTATTTTCAACCAACATAGCCAGTGTCAGAGATCCTAGCAATTGTAAGCCAAAACATGTGAAAAGCACCAGGCTGGGCAAGGCAGCACTGGGCCCTTCCAAACAGGTGCTTTATCTCATGATCTGATCCCAGATTTTCTGTTTATCTCAGATTATCTGTCAATACAGACTCATATATTCCAGTTTAAAGCAGAAAACCTGGGATTAGATCCTGGGATAAAGGGCCTGTCTGGAAGGGCCCACTGTCAAAAACATATTAGCCTCTTCATATGTAACCACGTTTCTTAGAATAGTTGGTGTTTCTGGAGTATAAAAGGACAAAAATGATCTTGACAATGAGAATATATTTCTTGAATGTTTAGTTATAGAGCTGTATTGTATGCCTAAGTGATGTACTGGGAGTGGGGGTTGTAAAAATTCTTAATCTTTTTTATATTATATTGAAAATACGTTTAAATATGTTTGAATTGTTTTAACTGTTTTAGCACGTTTAATTCCTATTTAATTTTTCTGAAATAATTATTTTAATGTTATCTTTTAAAATTATTGTAAACTGCGTTTAGTCCCATTCTGGCATGGTTTAAATCCTCCTCTAAACCTATTCTGGCATGGTATACATCCAATAAATGTGACTGACTGTTGTCTGCCCTAAGGAGAATCTGTAGGAGAGTCCTCTAAGTTGCTACGGCTGTGACATTTTTAGTTGTGTACTTCTGCTTTAAGAGAAACCTGACACTATAAATGTAGCTGGTACACCTTTTATTGCATTTTAAATGATGGAGAAAATGTTACTTGTAAAGTTTCTGTGCTGTAGCAACTGCCTATTCTTTCACGGCCCACTGTTAATAGCTTTGGGAAGGGAAGGTGCATTTTTCATTGGGAAATACTAGTGTAGGGAAATATTTTTTGAATCCCTGGTGACATGTGTATCCATGAATTGTTTGAGGGGAGTGGGTTCATTGGCTGTCTGCCAGAGTAGTAGATCATAAGATATGTGTGTATGGCCATTTTTATATTCTCCATTCTACTTTCTGTTTATTCTTTATTTCCTTCCCTACATTTAGTAAGGAGAGTCTATGATCCTATGTTGTTTTGTTTTGTAATATATAGTTAGAAAACTATATGGAGTGATACATGTGGAAAGTTCAATGGAGTGAATTTGCATGTGGATAGTGATTTGCTGAGAAAATGGGAAAGATACTGTTGCATTGGTATGAGTGGAGTAAGAAGATAGTCTGATAGGATTAGGGACTCTGTGGAAGTAATCTGAGTTCCGAAAATATAGATATGTCGTATATTGAAACATGGGGTTTTGTGTTGTACATTAGACTCAGATTGTAGTAATTTATTAAAACAAAACTGCAATTTCATGTGCTTACTTATTATCTGAATTAGACTTTTATAAAATTATATTTATCATATAACATAAACACGTCACTATACCCAGTGTGAAGAACCTGCATTCTCGAAGAGTAGCCTTATATAGAATAAATTCAATTTTAGTATGGATAAAATTATTATCCTTGATTTTCAGAAAACAAACCCATTTTACTCTATTTTGTTAATTTCCTTTTATTATTTTTTTTATCAATCATTGCAATTGTGATTTGTGGATAAAAAATTAAAATCTAACTCATTTTTATAAAATGATCTACTTAAAACTATGAAAATCACTTTCGTTTCCAGGATAACATGCTTTTATATGGTTTTGTAGTGATAGATGTTTTTATCTTAGGACTTACAAGGTTCTTGTGGTTCACTGCATATTGTGTTTTTAATTGAAAGAAGCCTCTTGAGAGCAAAATTTTATTCAGTGTCTTTATTGTTAGCAGTTGCAAATAACCGATACATACCCAGAGCTGTAACTTTTGGGATTCTTCAAGAACACAAATATATTTAACCCCTTTTTGAAATACATTGAGATTTAAAAAATAAAAAAAACTAGAAAACTAAAATTAAAATTAAAAGCACAGATCAAAAATAAAGAAAAAGAGAGCTGTCAACCCTAGGGGTGAGAAAAGCGGTATAGAAATACTGTAAATAAATAAATAAATAAATAATTCTGACCTTTTTGCAGTCATATATGCATATAAATAGTTATAACCCATGTCAAAAATTACAACATATTTCCGTCTTTCAAGGGCCCAATCTTTCTAATTATTAAAACTAAAAGTTACCATGTAATTTCATCCTTTTTTTTTTTTTGGCAAAAAGTCTGTAAGAGTTTTTGAGAAATGTCAGTATTGAGCTGTTTTCTGATCAATTTCTACTAATTCTTGTCAATTCTCTATTAACAATTACTTGTGCTTTTTCTCTGAGTTAGTTAAGTATTTTTACATTCTCTTCTGAAGGGCTAAATGCTCCCATGTTCTAGTCATGTGCCATGTACAATACTTTTTGCCAAGGAAAAGCAGCCGAGACAGAATTTGTCCCGTTTTGTCCCTATTGCATTTGTGTTGTCCACTTTTTTATGAAACAGGGAAAACTAACAGATAATCAAAAGAAGAACCTTACGTCACATGATCACGTGTTTGTGGTTCCTAGTGTTTTTGGTATTTGAAAATACCTTTGATTTTGTACCTACAAACCAGTCTATGAACATGGGACATTTTTAATTCCATACATCATGGTGGAATTTTCAATGGGGTTAGAAAATATACAGGTTAATGACCTAAATGGAAATATTTTTATCTGTTTTGGTGAAAATTTTGTACCCATCTTTTCAATTTGAAATTTTTATGAAGAAATCAGATATTTTCTCTTGATCGCTTTTCATTTTTATCCCTTATCTGCAGTCTTGAATTTGAAATTTTCTATGTGGCTGATTTGAACAATAACGTATTTCCTTAGCTATTTTACAGTCTGCTCTGTCCTTATGAACAGGACAGTGTAAATAATTCCTGTTTGAAGTAAGCTTATATATATCTTCTGTACCAAAATTGGGCAATGTAATCAAAACTTTCTAAGTATGAGGCCTAGCAGAGTCTTCTCAGAACCAATGTATAGAGTAGATTCCCTAAAGGTATGCCTCTAGACATAAAAAATGTAGATTACAATGTTCTACCATCAATCATTCCATGTAAGTGTTCCACACCACAAAAAAGTATACTTTGGCCATGGGGGCTTAGGCCACACTATAAAGAACTTTGATGACAAAGGCAGTGCTTACAATGATCAAGAAAATATATAAAACCATCCAATGGGTGTATTGGGTAGGACTGCTAACATCACTTTGTCCATCTCTGTTGTAGGAATGCTTCCTAGAAGTTTCTTATAATTCTCACCTTATAATTCTAATTAATTAGATTTAAGTCTGAATTAAGAAGACAGGAAGGCAAAGCAATTTTTTTTCCATATAGATATGTAACTATAAAAAAATCCATGAAAAAATAGCATTTGGTTTTTGTTTTGCATATTTGCTAATTTCAAAGCAGTGGGAACATCTGGCAAATCCATCTCCCTCTGTAGTTTGTGTTATTATTATAAATACTTTATCTTATTTAATCATCTATTTAATGTGGTGAATAAAATTTCCAGGTTGATGCTGGCAAATCTGTAATGGGCATAAAGCAAAAACCCTGCCTTATTTGGAGATATATGTATTTAGCCTGTTAATGCAAACAGTGATCTTGTGAGTAGACAACAGTTGGTGAAGAGTCCTCTAAGGGCTGGACCTGACCAGAAGACTAATAATTGTTGACCAGTACCTTATGTTTAAAACCAGCCTTTGTGTTGGTAGTCATTTTTTCTATGCTGTAACAGAGGGCAAATTGTCTGTAGTTTGCAGCCTGGACCACCCAGAGAGAAAGGCACTGAACATATGGTCATCCTTGGTGTATCCAACTGAATGTCAGTAATGCATATGCAGTAGAGTGATATCTCTGTTCTTGGGATTTGAAAGCTGCCATAGTCCCTCCAGCTTAGCCATGAAATTAAATCTCCCATGTGATGTTTCTGTTTTTAATTTTTTCATAAAGCATTCTCAGAATAGTTGCAGAAATGAAGTTAAAATACTATTGTCTTCCTACTGCTTCTGTTCTCTGAGCTGCCCCTGCTAAGTTCTTTTCAGTCCGTCCAAGCGTGTTCAATAATTGAGAAGTATTGAACTTATTTCTATGACTGTATACTGAATTTTAACAAAAATGTATTTTATTTATGTTTCTTTTCTCCCTACCAGGTATAGATGACCAAGGACTGTACAGAGTTGTGGGGGTGAGTTCAAAGGTCCAGAGGCTACTGAATTTGTTAATGGGTAGGCTTCTTATTTTTTCCCCCATTCCATATTCTGCATCTTGTCTATTGTATTTATATAAGATCTTATTTCATCTTTCGGCTTTTTCCGGTTTAGATATTTGTACTAGATGTAACCTTCTTAAAAATTAAAACAAAAAAATTGTTTCTAGAATTCCTCAGCTATCACGTTAATCAGGGTGATATTTTACTAAACTTACCATCAGGACATTTAACTACATTTTAAAAAAATTATCTAATGATCTTTGTTTAGAATGCAGCTTGGCCTACTTTGGATGACTGTAGTTGAGGAAGTTCAATTCACCAGTTGAACTTCCCTGCTCACTTAATAAGTACACAGACTGTATGTTAATACCTATTCCTTTTTATATTGATAGAGATCATCTAAGATGTTTTCTGTCCCTATGCCTTCTCCATTGTTTTTTTTTTTATGGTGGAGTTTTACACTTAATTTACTTCCAGAGCCTAGTTCTGGTTATATCTTACCACTCCCCCCAAGGTGTGAATACTTAGATGAAATTCATCACTTCTCTATCATGCAACCCCAGTATAGCAGTCAACACTGCCACTTTTCCAAACTTCATGTCCAGAGCGCTTGACAGTACATGCAGTCAGATGAGACCACAGTGATTACTTCGGTTTTCTGAGTCTCCCAAACCTTTCACTTGACAGTAGCACGTGTCTGATTCTCTCAAGGATTCATTGATATTCAGAGAAGCTAGTTTGCAACAGGCTCCTCTCCAGAACTATGCATGCTCCATCTGTGCTGATAACACAGTGTTCTTTGGCAGAGAAAACTAGAGGAAACCAGCAAGTGAATTCATTTCATTACCCCAGACATTATGTGAATGGCAAAGCACTTTTATATTATATGCTGCTGTCAAATCCTTGCCACCTGTATGACTCTCTTTTAACAGGCTGTCTGTTCAGGATTTATGATAGGACGTCAGCCTTGAGATCTTGTATTCCATGCCATTACAATTTATTATAACGATCTTGCTAGATACTAATTTCTTAATACCTTTAATCACTGTTACCAATTCTGTGCTGTTCAAGGAATATACATAACCTCTCACAGTCATGAAGCATTACATCACTGAGGAAGTAAAGAGCATTAAAAACAATTGAGACTAAAAATGATATTTGCTGTTTGTGGTGCAACATTTTCCTAGTGAATTACAGTCATTCCTCTGCATTTGTGGTTTTGACTTTGCAGACTTGATTATTCATGGAAATATTCTCTCTAGGAAGTTCTGTGTCCTACAGTATAACCCTATAGTCTACATCCTCCAGTCATGCTGGAGGACCTTGGGGTTTCTAGAGAGAATACCTTTTAAGGAATCTCTAGGTCTTCCAGTGTGGTACTGTGGTCAGGTTTTCACAGAAGCGAACCACAGAATCATGCTGGAAGACCTAGAAGTGTTAGGCAAAAGCTAAGGCAAGTACTTGGCAAGAACAGAAGTGAAGTGTTAGGGAAAGTACTTGAAAAGAACAGATGGAGATAATGAATCTATTAAAAGATAAGGCAGAGGAAATGACTGGAATACAAGCTCTCGCCAGTGAGGCAGTTGAAGGAGGACTCTGACACAAAACTCAATGATGACCCTGGGATATTTTAACTTGGATGTCCAGTGTGAGGAATCCCTTGACACATTACACTTTTGATAGCTCTCATGTTCACTATCTAATTTCAAGAAGGTTGTAGAGCTCCCATTGTGGATTCACTCAGCCCTGCTGTACCTAGAAATGCATTGCTTTTAGGTAGGAAAAAAAGAAAGATGTTGTATTAGTGTCCCTTTTAGCAAGGTAACAAACTCCAGTGTGTAAATATTCTAAAGGCACTAGATCCCATCTAACATTGGAGGCTAAGCAAAGTCAGCCCTGATAGTACTTGGATGGGTGAACTCCCAAGGAGTGTCAGGTGCTTGCAAAACCACCTCTTCCTAGTCTAAGAAAACCCTATGAGATCCATGTGGTTAATATAAATTGACAGGAGACTTGAAGGTGCAACAAACAACAAAATCTAAATAATTAAGGATTTAAGTTAAAATACACCATTAAATATTCCATATTAAGGAAAAATTACCTTTCAAGTATCCCACCTTGAAAGCCTATTATACAATGCAGCGAAGAAGTGTTTTAATAAAATAGATTGGGGCTTATCTACCAAATTGATAGCTGATAATGAATAGGATCCCAAAACTTTAAACAACAGAGCCAGATACTTGTCAGATCTAAGTTTAGCTCCTGTCAGGAAGCTTTTCTCCATGACGAGACAAAAATATCAGTTACTCATTCAGTTTCTGCATGACTGGTCCATGAATTGAAACAAAGCTGGAAAAAAAGATAAAAACTGTCCAACTAGAGTTTTGCTTATGAACTGTACCATGAAGGAGTATGCAGTAAACCCTTTCTCTGATTATCTTTCTCATACATTTTTACTTTACCTTCACGATGTTTTCCAAAACTTTCGTTTCATGGTTTTTATTTTCTTTGTGCCAGTTAATTTTGATTATAAACCTGCTAAGGAAGGAAAATTATGAGCTTAGAATGAATATATATTATACCATCACTCAGGCCCGTAGCCAGGATTTTGATTCGGGAGGGGCTGATTTTGGTTCGGGGGGGCTGAGTCTGAGTGAAAGAGGGTCTACCCTAGCAAACCTTTTATATCGTTACCCCAATACCCCCATGCATATGGGATATATTACGCATAGTGATCAGATCATGATATGAATAAACATAACAGTTTAAATAATGTACCAGTAAGGCCTTCTCACGGACCACCATGAGAATTTCGGGGGGGGGGGTGAAGCCCCTCAAGCTCCCCCCCCCGGCTACATGCCTGCCACCACTGTATGTCCCCATCTGTTTTATGCAAACAAAGAAGGTCATGGATGTTGTACCCCGAGATTACAAAATTAGGAAATAAGAGATTGGTTCAGTTTGTTTTTGTTAAACTCTCAGAGTATCTGATATTCATAAAGAGTCAAGAACGTGTTGTATCTTCATAAAAGAAAATTAGAGAGGCTAAAGTTTTGACAGTTTACTCAATATGTAATTCAAATGTAAGAGGCAAGGAATTTCATAAGATCCTCTGAAAACTGACATCTTTAGAGAAATTAAATAATTGAGGGTAATTTAATGCTACTGCTTCTTCAGGTAAGAAAATCTAACATAGCTGTATATTGTTTTCCAATCAACTCATAGGAATCTTAGTTGAATTTTCCCAGTTTGAAACTCATTTGTTATAGCAAAAGAGACTGTAGCTTCTCTTTTCACCACTATTTGCATTCCAGAATCCATTTTATTCTTATCCAAAACAGAACTGGAACGCCTTACTAGAATTCTCTGTTGGACAAATTTGATATTCTGGCAATACTCCTACATATGTCAGGTTGTCATAAAATGTAAGATTTTTTAATTGTAAGTTAAACTTGACATAATTATGTAGAGTTGAAAACAGATAAACTAAAAAAACCCGTGTTTTCTTCCTTGAGGGGTTTTAGTTAGTGTTCTGTGGGATTCTCTAAAGATAGTAATATGCAGTGAATGCATCAGTGAATATTGCCACTTAAGGAAATGTATTAATTGATAAATAAAGTGAACCTTTATTCTAAGTATGCAAAAGACTACAAAAATTAAAATGTGGTTAGATTAAAAATCTGTGTATTAGAGATAAACACAGTTTTCAAAAACTTACAAATATGCTGATGAAAACTATTATGAGTGTGAAAATAGAGATTAAATGTGTATTTGCATAGCAGAACAAGTTTTTTCTGACAAAAATATTAATGAACTTTATTAGCAAATGTAACAGAACAGTAGAGAGGGTAATGGTGCTTACTGTAGTGCCGTGAAAATTGGTTTGTTTTATAGTTCATGACAGATATGACATGATAACAAACCAAGAGAAAGCTCTCGGTTCTTTTCACATAAATGCATATTTTTATCTAGAAAGTTCTGCGCTGACATCAAGTCAAAATCCAATTTAAATGAAATATTTTGAACTAAAACCTGAATTGGTTCTCCCTTGGAAAAGAAAGCAAACGAACAGATGTCATATACCACTGGTTATCTTGTTCTTCTTTCTCTGAAATCTGTAAGATTTAGCAAATGTCCACCAAATGTGCCACTGGTTGAAGTGGAAGGGAGAGCATTGTCTCCTTTCCCCATCATTTTCTGACCAATAACTCAGCGCCTTTTTCCTATCTAAATAGATGAGTCCCACTTCATGTTCTTCTCTTGGAGACATTTTTTACTGAGTCTTTTTGTCTCTGGGCTGAGTTTTAGTTTTGTAATGGAAGATGAAGTACCACACTATTCTATAGAAACTTGACTCAGCAATGCACAACTTTCTGCTGGAAAGAGCTTTTCTGGATGATTAAGTGAGAGTAGAAAAGAGTGTCTCCTCTTCCCCAGGCTGTATCCTTTTCACACTGTTCAACATTTGCAAGGCGATAATATACTGATATGCAAGAACAAAATTAGGTATCTGTTTTGGACAGGAGTTAATACTTGCACGTTGCTAGAAAATGTTGTTTGACTTGTGCATTTTAAACTATGTCATTAGTCATTTAACAAATGAGAGAACATGCTGAATTACAAAAATTACTTAGTTTTACATTGCTTATATAATATCTCTTGGAAAAACTATTTCTTTTACAAGGGTCTTAGTTTGATCTCTTCCTGCTCTGACATGTTCAATTACATCTGAAATATATGAAATTATCAAAATGTGATCAACCTCAGTTATTTCCAAGAGACTTTTAAAAAATACACACACACACATGAGGTACCTCTATCAGTTCATGATTTATTGGAGTCTAAAATACCATTTTCAAAATAAAATGATAGTGTAGGTTTATGTTCTTGAAAAGTAAAATCCATGATTAATTTCATTTCACTTTGACAGGAAGAATCATTTGGATATTATTCATGCATTTTTGAAAATGAAATCAATATGATAGGCAATATGATGTACAGAAATCTCTCATGGTAAAGGTGAATGTTGCATAATGTTAACCCCAGCTAGAGGACATCCATTTAAATTAATTGAGCTAATATTCACCACCTCCTACATAAATGGCTGTGCTCTTGTTGGCAATAATAATAATAATAATAATAATAATAATAATAATAATAATAATAATAACAACAACTACTACTTTATTTATATGCTGTCCTATCTCCCCAGGGAGATTCATGGTGAATTCCAACATACAATGGCAAACATTCAATGCCTCCATAGAACAAATAAGTACCGACATAATAATCCCAGAAAAACCCCACATATAACATTAGAACTTAACATCAGTAAATTAAACCAAACATAATCAAACAAAAATTATATAATGACATAAAATATGAACATAAAACATAAAGTTTGCGTTTAATCCATATGTATCATCCCATTGGTTTTGTTCTGGATGCAGTAGTGTCCAGCCCACCTACATGATTCATATTGTGCTGAGGATTTGCTTATATGCTAATGTATAGTTCACACTTGCAATCAGTATTTGGGAGTATTGGACAGATTGAAAGGCTTATGAGTTGGATCCTGCATGTTTTACTGCATAAATATTTTATTTTATAGGTTTAGTTAATGATCTTTTTAACCCTCTCTCCTCCCCTTTCTCCCATTATGTTTGATTTTCTAGATGCAAAAACATGTAATGAACTTGATCTGGAAAATTCTAAAGAGTGGGAAGTAAAGACAATTACAAGTGCAATGAAACAATACTTGAGGTAAATATAAAACATGGAGTACTTTGACAGACTGATTTTTATTCTTCAGTTGAAAACACAGTTATTTTAATGCATTAGAATTAATATTTTGATTCTGATAGTTGCTGGAACATTCCTAATAAATGCTTACTTTTATAATAGTCTGAATCTTTTGTCTAACCAGAGCACAGTGATTCTGGGGCAAAGGGGGCAGTTCATTTTCTCATCCTGGTGATAGTTTGCCCCCAAATTTACCTCCAATTTCTCCCCGTGTTCATACAGTGAATATTTTGTATCTGGATAATATATGCATAACATTTTTGGGATGCAGGCAGTCCCCAAGTTACTAACAAGATAGGTTCTGTAAGTTTATTCTTAAGTTGAATTTGTTTGTAAATTGGAACAGGTACATTTTTAAGTGTACCTCCAGCCACACACACACATACAAACACAAAAACTTTGGATACAATATGAAAGCGTTAACACCCTGTCGTGTTTGTTCTTCTGTCTGTGCCTCCTTCAGAAGATTTCACCTCACTATCTGTCCTTGTGGTAATTGGATTTTGAAAAAATTGGGTTGTTGTGGCAACAAGGATTGGCGAGAAAGCTTCAGTTGAGACACCTTTTCCCTATGATAACTTTTTCAGGAGTGAATTTTCCTTCTGAGTGTTGCTTTGTCTCCCTTCCTGTTCTCTCTCTCACTCCTGTTTATAACTATGAGTCATGTGTATGTCAGATGTTTGTAATTCGGGGAATGCCTGTATCTGTACTGAATGAAATCTATAATAGATATAAGTAGACAATATTTTACTTCTAATTAATTACTGTAACTTTTTTGTCTCAACAGAAGCCTTCCAGAGCCCTTGATGACATACGATTTACACAGAGATTTCATCAGTCCTGCTAGTAAATGCTTATAATTAAATCTTAACCTCCATTAAAATATTAATGGTGCTGATTATGGATATGTAGTTTTCATATAGTTGTTACTTTCAGGAAATAGAAAACAGAATCTTTTATTTTAAAGATGTTTGCAAATTGTATTTTTTTTTGTCTTCACCCATGCAATTGTTTCTGTAGATGTAAAAATGTGCAGCAATACCAAAATGTTCTAGATATTAATACGTTTGTTAAGTAGAAAGTTAATCTTTCATTGGCTTATCATTCATGCTATCTACATCATACATGGTTTAAACTAAAACAAGTATTTGCCTAAGTGTACAAGAATATGTGTTTATATCTTATTTTTCACATGGAATGTGAGCAAAACAATATGTTCTAGGAATGAGAGAGATAACCAAAACTTTGTGTCTTAAAATCTCAGATCCTGTATGGAGGTATAATTCAGTACTTTAATAAACTAAAAGACACCTGAAAGTGGTATCTTTTTCAATAATTTTAAGATGAAAAAGTGACTTTGGACATGAATTTAGGCAAACAAAAATTTAAAAAATATTGAAAACATTCATATTTTCTACATTTTCTTTAAAATGTCTGTAAAAGAAAGAAATAAAATAGTGGTTAAATTGTATGTACTATCCCTGCCATTTTGGAAAAAGAGTTGTGTGTTAGTTTTTGGAAACAAATATATTCTAGGAGCATAACCACATTTACAACTTCAGATGTACCATTCTTCAGCCACCTCCTCCATGATTTCCAAAAAGTTATACTGTACAAATATGCAAAACTTTGTAGCAAAAGATTTTTAATTGAATTTTTGAGAATGGCAGTCAAGTGTTCATTTAAAAATATCCAGCAAATCAATACAACATATCAAATTTTTTTTCCAAAATTGTCTCCATTGTATTTAATTTCTTTAAAATAATTTCCTATACCATCTGCTTTGAGATATTCCAGAACATGTATGCCTGTTGGAGGGATCTCAGGTATCAACACATGTCCTTAAACAGACCTCAAAGACTGTCATACTTTACTCTCTTCCTCCTCCTCCTCCTCTTCATTTTTTGGAAGTAAGCGTCATTAAACTTTGTTGACTTTTTTCTGAATAAATATACACATGCACAGTAACCTCTACTCTTATAAGTGAAGGCAAATTATACCTGATTGTATTGAAAGCAACTCATAAACAGTGTTAAGAGAACATAATTCATCCTCCTATGGTCATACAATTCTTTATCTTCAGCTTCTTGGTAAATAAATGAAAGTATCACACTAAAAAAGCACACACATATATACACATACATATACTGAGTGTGTGTGTGTGTGTGTGTGTGTGTGTGTGTGCGCGCGCGTGCACGTCTCCTAACCTCTACCACCAATAAAAAAAAGTAGTTAATAAGAAAGGAGAAAAATATTTACACAAAATTTTGGATTAAGTACATATTGTATGCCAAAATTCATGGTTAAAAACTTCTTTATTTTTTATGTAGAAAGTGGGAGTCCAGAGTCCCGTGTTAATGCTATCCATTTTTTGGTCTATAAACTTCCAGAGAAGAACAAAGAAATGTTGGATATTTTGGTGAAACACTTAGCAAAGTAAGCATTTTGTATTTCTATTTATTTTTCAGAGTTTTTTTTCTTTGCATCCATAAGTGTTGTTGTTCATTCGTTCAGTCGTCTCCGACTCTTCGTGACCTCATGGACCAGCCCACGCCAGAGCTCCCTGTCGGCCGTTACCACCCCCAGCTCCCTCAAGGTCAGTCCAGTCACTTCAAGGATGCCATCCATCCATCTTGCCCTTGGTCGGCCCCTCTTCCTTTTGCCTTCCACTTTTCCCAGCATAATTGTCTTCTCTAGGCTTTCCTGTCTCCTCATGATGTGGCCAAAGTACTTCAACTTTGTCTCTAGTATCTTTCCCTCCAGTGAGCATCGGGCTTTATTTCCTGGAGGATGGACTGGTTGGATCTTCTCGCAGTCCAAGGCACTCTCAGAACTTTCCTCCAACACAACAGCTCAAAAGCATCGATCTTCCTTTGCTCAGCCTTCCCTAAGGTCCAGCTCTCACATCCGTAGGTTACTACAGGGAATACCATGCTTGACTAGGCGGATCTTTGTTGCCAGTCTGATGTCTCTACTCTTTACTATTTTATCGAGATTGGACATTGCTCTCCTCCCAAGAAGTAAGCGTCTTCTGATTTCCTGGCTACAGTCTGCATCTGCAGTAATCTTTGCCCCTAGAAATACAAAGTCTGTCACGGCCTCCACGGTTTCTCCCTCTATTTTCCAGTTGTCAATCATTCTTGTTGCCATAATCTTAGTTTTTTTGACGTTTAGCTGCAACCCGGCTTTTGCGCTTTCTTCTTTCACCTTGATTAGAAGGCTCCTCAGCTCCTCCTCGCTTTCGGCCATCAGAGTGGTGTCATCTGCATATCTGAGGTTGTTAATGTTTCTTCCAGCAATTTTCACCCCAGCTTTGCATTCATCCAGCCCCGCACATCGCATGGTGTGTTCTGCATACAAGTTAAAAAGGTTGGGTGAGAGGATGCAGCCTTGCCGTATGCCTTTCCCAATCTTGAACCAGTCTGTTGTTCCATGGTCAGTTCTTACTGTTGCTACTTGGTCCTTGTACAGATTCCTCAGGAGAGAGACAAGGTGATTTGGTATGCCCATACCACCAAGAACTTGCCACAATTTATTATGATCCACACAGTCAAAGGCTTTAGAATAGTCAATGAAGCAGAAGTAGATGTTTTTCTGAAACTCCCTGCCTTTCTCCACTTATCCAGCGGATATTGGCAATTTGGTCTCTCGTTCCTCTCCCTTTTCTAAACCCAGCTTGAACATCTGGCAGCTCTTGCTCCATGTATTGCTGGAGTCTTCCTTGCAGGATCGTGAGCATTACCTTACTGGCATGAGAAATAAGGGCCACTGTACGGAAGTTTGAGCAGTCTTTCGCATTTCCCTTTTTTGGTATGGGGATATAAGTTGATTTTTTCCAGTCTGATGGCCATTCTTGTGTTTTCCATATTTGCTGGCAAATGGCATGCATCACCTTGACAGCATCATCTTTTAAGATTTTAAACAGTTCAGCTGGGATCCCGTCGTCTCCTGCTGCCTTGTTGTTAGCAATGCTTCTTAAGGCCCATTCAACCTCACTCCTCAGGATGTCTGGTTCTAATTCATTCACCACACCGTGAAAACTATCCTCAATATTATTATCCTTCCTATACAGATCTTCTGTATAGTCTCGCCACCTTCTCTTGATCTCTTCAGCTTCTGTTAGGTCCCTGCCATCTTTGTTTCTTATCATACCAATTTGTTTCTTATCATACATGATAAGAATTTGTTTCTTATCATACATGAGTCTACACTGACCATATACTGATGTTCCAAACTGCATTATATGGCAGTGTATAGATCATGGAATAATGTATACAAAATTCATGTAAAAATGAAATATTTTCAAATGTGAGACAGGACAAAAATATTATTTACTGTCTAAACACATTAAAACCAAGCTAGGTAGCAGCACATGTTGCAAGTCAAAGGCAATCCATGGAAGAAGCAGCCCAGAAGGAGATAAGAAACTTGGAAATAGGGTGAAATCATATTGGAGACTTTAAAAGTGTAAACTTTCTTACGAAAGGAGTTAGCACTTTCCATCTGAACCATCTGAAGGCATATTTGGTTGTGCATTCAGTTGCTCCATATTCATTTGTGCACTCAGATACATTTATATTAATGCCCACTGCATTGCCATTTGACCAAGCATTCAGCAGCACAATCAATGTGCATATTCCCAAATGGCGATATACGTAGCAATTGAAATATAAGATCTTGGATTATATCTCTACCTACAGACACATCTACACTGTAGAATAAATGCAGTTTGACTCCATTTTAACAGGACTCAGTGCTATGGAATTTGGGGAGTTGTAGTTGGGGAGAGAAGGCTAAAGACCTTGGAAAATGACAGTACCCGGGATTCTATAGCATTGAACCCTGGCAGCAGAAGTGGTGTCAAACTGCATTTGTTCTACAGTGTAGATGCACAACGTACCTATGGAAATGTCTGGGTTTATAGAATTAAGAACATAATAAATGAGTGAGCCAGCATGGAAGACTGGGAGATGCTCTGACTTCTCAGGAAACCATTAAAGGATCAGCCTCCTCTGCAAACGAAATACAAAATGGGTGTTTCCCAAAGGTTCTCAGACACTCTTTTAGATAACACTGGAAGCATCATCACCATGTTTTAGCTTACGTGGGCCATTAACAAGACTTGAACATAATCAATTTATTGTGCATTTTCTATTCTTTAAAAGACCAATTCTAGGCTTAAATTGGCCAGCTACCTCTCTGAGGTGAAGATGATAATGATGGTGATGATGACGACAACAACAAGAACAACAAGAACAAGAACAACAACTTTATTTTGTACCCTGCCTCCATCTCCCTGAAGGGACTTGAGTTGGCTTACATATGGCACAAAATGCCTCCAGCCACCCCATCCATCTCCAAGAGGAGATTTTGGAATATTGTGTCCAATTCTGGGCACCACAATTGCAGAGAGATATTGACAAGCTGGAATGTGTCCAGAGGA